TACAACTCAAGACAGAGAGAAAGCTTCTTTCTTACTGAATGTTTCAAGAGACAGAAAAACATTTAGGATAGGTGTTGCAGAGCTGGAAAGCATTGCAAATTTTTTGTGGACCTCGATGAGGACAGGAACAAGGCCCCAGAGCAGACATGAAACAATCCTTTGTCTCAGACAATGAGTATACTTTGTTGGGAAAGGGAAGCAAGGAGCTTGCCAGGAAATAACCAGGTATCTTGCAGCTCTCTGTAAAAGAAACAAAAGGGACTTGGAATGAACAAAGTCAAACTTTAATAAGGAATGGCCTTACCTTCACTCAGCACTAACAGCAGCTTTTGTTGGTGTCTCGCCAATTCCCCAGAATCTTCCTGTACATTAGAATTCATTATTAACTCTACAAATACCTCAAAAGTCTGTCCTAACCCTTCATTATTAGCAGCAAACGTTTTTCTTCTTCATAGAAGAAGAACCACTCACTCTACAAAAACTTACAATGGTACCCAATACCACGCAAAGCTGGTAGGAACATGAAATAGCCTCTAAGCTCATAGCTTACTGACTGACAGCCAGCTGTCAGGCAAACAAGAGCGACAAATTGCCTCCGTCTCAGCCAGAAGAAGTTCAGTTGATGCTCTGGTCTCATTACAGGTACTCGGAAGATGGAATACAAGGGCAACAGCTGGCACGAGACCTGCTTTATCTGCTACCGCTGCCAACAGCCGATTGGGACAAAGAGTTTCATCCCTAAGGACAATCAAAACTTTTGCGTACCCTGCTATGAAAAGCAGTTTGCCATGCAGTGCGTCCAGTGCAAGAAGGTAGTGCTCTTATTTTACTCACCTAAAACCTAAGAGATTGAAGTCCATCCCACTTTACACCCAAGTAGGTAGAATATCTTGTTTTCCTATGTGTGTGTCTCAAAATCAGAATCAACTGATTTTAAGAGACAGAATTAATTTCAGTTCCCATCCTGCACCAGGCACAGCGTTTACTATAATGAGAATTCTCTTACTCAGAGTTGAAGATCTCTTTGCACTGAAAGCATACAGAGAACACGTTTTTTAAAACAAACAAACAAAAAAATCTGCAGTGGAATGACCTCATTCCAGTATAACCTGTGATATATCATATACCTAAACATTTTAACTGGAAGATGAGCGAACACTGATCATTTTTTAATATTCTAATGAAATTCAAGACAGAGAGATAAGCTTTACACAGAGCAAATACTGTTCCTGAAATAAACACTAGTAAACTCAGTATGCTCAAGAGCACAGCTTTCTAGGCTAAGGACCTTTTATTTGTGAACTGCCTAAATTCTATACACAGACACTGATAAGAATTTTAGAATTCCGTCCTATGAAGAATCATCTCATCACTTATGGAACCAAGAAATCCCAGTTTCCTATGGACATATGTATAGGCAAAGACAAGCAAAACTATGGCTATAGCCACAGTAGATTCCCTTTCCCACTGCCACTGTTTCTCCTCTGTGCCCCTTTGCCCTCCGTGTACTTCCAGCCTCCCCCTGTGCCCACACTACCCAGGACTTTTTTCCATGTGTGCAGCCTGCCTGTTTGCCCTTCCCGTCCAGCAAAACTGCACGCTGGTCAGCCAGACACACTGGCTGGCCAAAAACGACTGCATCTTTGCTGCTGCACAGGTAAAACAAAACAGGTAAAGTCTGAATTTTTCTTTCAGCCTTTGACCTAAAGTACACCTAATTACCTTCGTGGCCTCCTACCCATCCATCAATTTTCTGAGGCTTCTAGGAGTTCCGTATCTCAGAAACTCTAGTGTCCAATTCTAACCACATTTGAGAACAGGATCAAAAATACCTGGGAAAGAGGCAAAGACATAGATGAATACACACATTAGGTAGCATGATCACATACAAGCCTGATTCCCAGGGAAACTCGCTTTAGGGAAAAAAGGAAGAAAAAATTAAACTGTTCAATTTTACAGACTTCTTCGGAATACTGAAAGGATCAAAAAAAATTCAGTTTGTCTAACATCAGGGGAGTTGTTTTTGTAGGCAACAACTCATTGTAAGAGGAAAAACCCCAGACAAAGTCCAGAGAAGCAGAAAGCAGAGACTTCAGCCAGAATTTAAAATAAAACAGTCTTTGCCAAAGAAAGTAACAGGGAAGTTGAAACACGTAAGGTAGTTTCTTCACCATGAAAAATGGGACAGGTGAGACCCATCCTAGCACACGCGTATGAAAAGCGACGTACAAAAACTAGCTTTAAAAGCAAAGAGGACAGCTGAGAGTGAAATTACACAGTATATGGAGGATAAAGTACTTGAAGCACGGGGCATGTATAAATTAGGAAATTACAATAAATCACTTGCACGATTTTCTCAAGGTCAGCTCCAGCGAAAATTATGATTTTGGTGCCGTTAAGCCTTCTTTGCCTCCTCCCACCCATAAAACCCCTCATCACCCTTCCTCTCTACCAAATCAAGATCCAAACCCTCAAGAGAACACTTTCTGTGTCCCTCCCCACAGGCCATCACTACAGGAGGCGTTACCTACCGGGAGCAGCCGTGGCATAAGGAGTGCTTCGTTTGTACTGGGTGCAAGAAGCAGCTGTCTGGACAACGCTTTACCTCCAGGGATGAGTTCGCATACTGCCTGAGCTGCTTCTGCAACCTCTATGCCAAAAAGTGTGCTGGATGCACGAACCCCATCAGCGGTAGGTCTCTCATGGCCAGTGCCTTTAAATTCTGGATTTTTTTTTTTTTTTCAGTTAACTGCTTCTAATATTAAAAATGGTTCAGTAATTCATTCTGAATAACTCAAGACACTATACAATTCAAGATGTGTGAAATTAAACGTTTATGATGCCTTTCAAGTGCCTAACAAAAAGAAATGGAAGAGGTCCTTAAGTTTCTTCCTTTTCACCCGATTTTCACGGAACATGGTGGACATGCAGTAACAGAGCTATGCATGTAGTGGGATATGCACGTTCTGTACGTCATTCCACTTGGTTCACAACCATTCCAGCCAAAACCAGGACAAAAAGCCCCTTCACCAGCAGAAAATGTCTAACAGGCTTCCACCTCGTGCTGTAGCACAGTGCGTTTCTTCTCTGACTTTCCAGGACAGCAACTGGGAAATCACAAGGATTTTAGCTACTGCTTTCCAGCACAAAGGCACTTAAAAGGAGCAACTGCTTAGAGCTTTACAATGAAACACTTAGCATAAAAATATAACTTCCTCTATGAAGCAATTAGCATTTAACAGCATGATCCATACAGTCCAAGACTGCAAATCTGAGTTATATCTGGACCATTTTCTCTCTTTTTATTGCTCTGCCCTTGTGCCTGTCTCCCACTAACATACGCTTGATTGCATAGCTCCTAGAAAATCACTGCATAATGCCACAGACACTGTTCATTTCTCTTTTGAACACTACAGTCCCTTCTGTCATATGCTGGGTTTTTTTGGTTTGGTTTTTTTTTTTTTTTGTTTGTTTGTTTGTTTGTTTTGTGGTTTTTGTTTTCTTTTCTTTTCTTTTCCAAAATGTTGCTACTAAAGGCAAAACAAAATAGAAAACTCTCTCATCAGGTAAGAGATATGCCCAACTCAGTTTTTTCACTGACTTCCAGTTAATCAGTCCAATGCATCATATTCAAATCGCTTGTCATTTCTGAGGTTATGCAAGAGATAATTACTACTAAGAGATATTTGCTCCTTTTCTCTCTTTTTCCTGTACAACTTCAATACCCCTTCTGATAACCTCTACAGCCTCAAACTCTTGAATGCTTTTTGCAATTTGCTAACCTGCTTCTTGAGGCACACTTCCTTCAAAGGTATGAATCAAGTCGTGACACAACCTATCAGACTTCTTTTTTTAACAATCTAAATGCATTTTTACAAAACAAAGCTAACTTGCTCAGACACCATAAAACATTCTGTAAAAGACTATCAGACTTCTGTTCAGGGGCAGTTGTTTTCTTCTGCTGTGTATCATAGTGCCATCCCTTGAAAGTTCATTTTTGCCATTATCACCAGTGATAACAGTCTAGTTCACTAACTTAGCTGAAAGCAACAGAACTATTTGAGGATGAAAACATTACTTGCTACAGAATAAGGGTGGCGAAATTAGCAAAGCAACAAATAGATTTGTCACAACGGCATTTTTTCACTACTCTGTTGGATCTCCATAGCAATCCACAAGGGGAGTCTGCAATAGCATTACCTGATGGCTGACGTGCTATTCTTGTAACAGAATGCTTTTGGTTTTCGAACAGGACTCGGAGGAACCAAGTACATCTCCTTTGAAGAACGGCAGTGGCATAACGATTGCTTTAACTGTAAGAAGTGCTCTCTCTCATTAGTGGGTCGTGGCTTCCTCACAGAAAGGGATGACATCCTTTGCCCTGAATGTGGGAAGGATATTTAAAACTCAAAGTAAGAGGTGGGGAGAAGGGAGGAAAGCCGTGCTTGCAATATATAGTCTGAAATACACAGATGTTCAGAACTAGCTTTGCCACTCTGTGTTTCGCTGTATTATTAACATTACTTAACCTTTTTCTTCAAACTCTCCAGATCTGGAGGGAAAACAACTTCAAAATCTCTAGTAGCAGTGTTGGTGTTTAAGATTTCTACAGCTAACAAGAACTAATGCAAAACCTGAGATGTAAAACCATTTGGGTGTTATTGACATAGCATACTCTTTTTGGTTTGTTTGTTTTTTTTTTTTTTTTCCTTCCACTAAATATTCCAGTTACAAGCAACCGCTATAGTTCAAGGATTACAACAGCCACTCACAATACATTCACAGATGCATATTCAGGGTGAAACCCTCAGCCCGCTGAAATCGGTGGCAAACACCATTCAATTTCAAGAGGGCTGTGGTCTCACCTCAGTGTTCTTGAGCTACGTGACTAGTGTGTGCTGTCAAGCGTGCAGAGAGACTGCAAACATAGAGGGTGTTTCAGTGTACGAGGATTTGTGCCATGCCATAAAGAGATAATGATAAAACAGTTGAAGTGGGAGTGCTTCATAACAAGTACATATTTTATTGCATGACTAGCTGATCATTGTGTGAAGTACAAGTTCAGATTGACAGTGCCAGTATTACAGTTAGTCGACATTACACTGCACATTGTATTTTTCAAAATAAAATCATTTAAAACAAAATTGTGACTGTGGTTTAATTGTGTGTACATATTCGATATTTACAAATAAAATGCTTTCACAGTCTGAGGAAACAACATAAGAGCCATACAAACACGACCGTTTTTGCACCCAATCGTTACCAAACTGTGGAGTTTAGACAATCCTCAGACGGGCCCTGCTGATACAACAGAGTCTCCTACTAACTGGAATCAGTGTGAAAATGATCAGTAGAACTGAACAACTGTGTGAAAATACTGAACGGACTGCAGGCTGATAAAAATGTGTTCACAGGCTCTAAATTCAAAATCAAAATATTATTGTTCTCAGCAAGCAAGGAGGGTCAAGACAACTCAGAAGACATTTATCTTTGCAAAAGTCCCGAAGTTTAACTTCCATACTAGGGCATGCTTTAAGTTTGTTCTGTATTGCAATACACAATACCATTAGCTCTAGCATCATTTCTGCTATATGTTTCCTGCAAAGGCAGCTGTCAGCAACAGCACGCTGGCAGGACAATAAAATCGAGAGGAAACAATCCAAAGCAAGATAACTCTCTTCCCAAAGCAAACTTCAAAAAATATGGCCATGTTATGCACTGTACGATCCTGGTACACCTTCCAGGTGGAATTAATTTGTATCCAGCAAAAGGAGGAAAGTAATATGTCACACTTCCAACAGGAATCTTCAGATGTGTAAGTGGGATAGGGAAAGCTTGCTCCTACTTCCTGTCACCCCTCCTGAATTTGTTTCTTTTTATACCAAGTGTAAAGTGCTCACTGGTCATTCCTCTCATCAATTCCAGAAGCTAAACAGATGCCGCAGATCAGATTTGGCTTACTGTACGCCATTTAAAGAACTTGGCTGGCTGACATTTTTGAAGTGCACGCTGTGCTAATCTGATCTCACTGAATGAATAAATTCTATCCTTTGGTGACTTCATTCTATGATGAAGGTTGTAGTGAAGAATAACCATTAAAATCCTTCCTAAATCCACACCTCCCAGCTGAGGGCAAGCACCTCACTTACTCTCTCCTCTGGGGTCTGGCAAGCCCCCAGCATACTGCAGCTCTGTTAGAGTGCTTTGCTGAGAAAAGAAGGATTCCTATTAGCTAAGGGGGTAGTAGAAGGTAGTAAAAGCAGCATGGCTTGCACCTTGCCCCTTCTCCACCCGCCCCCCCAAGCCAAGTGCTACAACAGACAGCAAAACGGTGCCAGCTTTGGGGAAAGGCAAGTGAAACACGACAAGGCTGGGAAGCATACCGGCCTGAAAACAAGCCTGTTACCACGCAACAGAAGCATCATGCTATTAGTCCAGTCCAGTTCTGCGTATCACTCCTTAACACATACCAACACACGTGTGCTCCTAGCAACTGGAACTACAACAAAATACAGCCTAGACTCTAAACCACTGCCAAGAAGCCACCCACAAAACAGAACTCTTACCAGATTATGACACTAGTGCAAGGACCAGCGCTTTACAGGACACTAACCGCTACTAAAACTCCGAAGTAGCTACTGAGCCTTTTACCTTGTAAGCTTCTTCTTAAGTTCCAATTACTTCAAGTCCACTGAAATACAACCATGTAAAATGAACAAGCTTGATTACATCACAAAACCAAGTCAGCGGTATTTTGTTTGCTTTTAATTGAGTTTATTTAAATAGGATAAAGCTACTTAAAAGACAACTCTTTACATACAAAATGTACATTACATTAAAGTTTGCTGTACTTAAGTACAAAAACTGCACAAGTGTTTAGTAAAAGGGAAACAGCACACAATATTTCAAAACACACATTCTTACCATTTTACAGCATTTGAGAAGTGCCTTATGTCGTAACAGTGAATGGAGAATTTCTGTCAGTAATGAATTAAGCTACAGTTTTTGGTTTCAATATTAACCAATGTTAACAATGTAAACAAGCTTTCAGATCACTACTGACAGCTTCTTTTAGTGAGTTAACTAAGTGGATTCAGAAGCTGATTCTTTTTTGTTTACTAAGTCTGAAAGCGTTATTGTTCACCATCCATATCTAAAATGGATTTAAACTGGCTTCACCCTGAGCCACAGAGATTTACCAAAAAAGTTTCCATCAACTTAACTGGATTTCTGCCCTATAAGGCACTACCAATAACCCAGATAAAACACCAAGTTTCACAGAAAACTAACATCCATCTTAAATTATCAAAGGCAAACAGGTTGTTGGAGGGTTTTCTGGGGGTGTGTTCGTTTTGTTTTCTTTTTGGTTTTGGAGGCTTTTTGTTTGTTTGTCTGTTTGTTTTAATTATTATTTTGGTTTTTCTTTTTTTTTTTTTTTTTAGAGTGCAGCTACATACACTAATGCTCTCAAGGTACTTTGTCTTCCTATCCCTGTCCCTCTCCAACTGTTAGTTCAGAAAGCACTGGCCTGCATTCCACAGGTTTTCCACATAATTGTAACCAGGAAAACAAGCAAATTTGCTACATCAGCACATTTTTACACTTATGCATGTATAAAATATGCCTGTGTATTTAAGAGAACATGGCACTAATCCATTCACTACTTCTTCTCAAAGATTCATATCAAACAGTATAATAGCATACTTCTGTCTGTGCATTTCTTACTGCATATGTCAGTAAGAGAAACTTCAATTTGAAGTAATGCTGTTAAAATAGTTCATCTCTTATCACCCAACCTTACTCGCACTGTAAATTCTACACTCCCGTGCAACAAAAAGGAACAAAAAAAATGTCTCAGACTATCTTATTAGCAGAATGGTCAGTTTTCTCATCTAAATTAATTATCTTCCTAAAGCCAAGAAGGCTCTTGGGATGACTCTGAATCTCAATAGCTATTTTAACTATTTAACCAGAAGTGGAACAAAACTGAATCTTCCTGAAACGAAACAAAAAAAAAAAAATGTATATGCATGAATTGTAGTGACATGCAGGAGATGAACTATAATAATCTTGAAAACTAAAAGTGGGGGCATTTAGTATATTGTAATATTACCATCTTTTAAAGAAGTAATGAACTACCTGGTGTACAAGAGTAGACACTCTTAAGGTGACTGGTGATAATGACTCCAGCTTTACAACAGGGAACTTTTAAACTTGTTAAAACTTCACAGCAATCTGAATCCCTGTAGGGTGTAAAAAGAATGGTACTTAAACTGTTTAAATATGACTTATCTGTTTGAAAATATGGAAGTAACATTTATGTTTCAAGCACCATTAGCTACTTCATGGCCATGTAACATGCTGGATTTTCTTCTTTGCTTCCGTAGGCTTTAGGTCATTCTGGAATACAAGAAAATATATAAGTATTCTTAGATACACTGTCCAAGTAGAAGTTAGTAATTAACCTGCCATATTCAAATCTAGTACTGACTATTGCTGTACTCAGCTATATGCTACTACAACAGCTTTCTATTGCCATCTTGTGGAGAAAGTTAAATATCACAGAACTTCTCTAGAGAAACATAAAGCCAATGAATTTAACTATCTGCAAATCATATATGTCTCTCGGTTTTTCTTAATCCTGCAATTATTTATGCAAAAATATCTTTCAATTATGCAGCCTAGAAACCTTAGAAACAGGTACATATTGGAGTTTCAAAATATGCTTTTAAAGTTATTTCAGACTGCCTTCTTAAAATACTTGTTGAAATTGAATTGTGTAAGAAAAAAACCCAGACAACTAGGAAACCATTTTTCTTTTGTCAAATAGTAAAAACGTTAGAAAAAGATAATGAAAGGTGGGTCTTCCTTTGTAATGACCTGTATAAAAAAGTGGAACAATTGCCAAAGCCCCAGATGAACTCATTTTTCAAGTCCCAGTCCAAGAAACCAGAAAAACAAAAAAAAAAAAATCAAACAATCCCAAAGTAATACAGTAGGAGACTGAAGTGTTGAAATAATTACTTTTCATGAGTTAAAATAAGAAGAAAAAAAAAAAGAAATTAGAGCTTTAATAGTTCATACAAGCAGAATGGGGAATTAGATCAACAAAGATCAGAGGGATAGTTCTGTGCTATCCAGCACAAGAACTTCAGTTTTTCTTGAAAGTCAAAGAACAGTCACTTGCTTGAAAAGTCAATTGTCATTACTGTCATTATTACTATCATTATTATTGTCGTTATACTAAAAATGTATCAAGCTTTACACTCTACAGCCATCTGCCAAATGTACTGATTCTTCCTGGCTGCATCACTTATTTTTCAATACCACATTCTTTAATTTCAGACGGCAAACTAACACCTATACAACACATCTGCCTAACTTCAAACGTGTCTGACCAACTTTAACCAAGGCATGACTGAACTTACTGGTCTTAACTTGAACAACACAGACTGTGGCTAAGGTATAAAGCCAAGAGTCAGAGGTCATAGCTTCTGAGTGTCAGTTATACAGCGTCACTTAAAAGTGTTCATCATTGTGTCTACAAAAACATCTAAATTAAAGAAGCTCTGAGGTGTATACTAAAGAAGTTTCAAAAGCTCTGTAGATTCAGATGTGACCAACACTTTGAAGAGTTCTAAAGACTAAAATAAATTAGTAATACTGGTAAGTAGGAAACACACATTGCCAGCATAAATTTGATTCAGGACCTCAGCCGTGATTCTTGGAAAAGTTGCTAAAGCTGTCTTTGAGAACAGCCACGTGCTTAGGTGCCCACGTTTAACAGAAGTCTGATGGAACCTACCAATCCATGCAGCAAGACTATTACCTGCACTCTTTCATGGAATAATTTTTTCAAAAAAAGAGATTAATAGGAAACACTTCAAAGGAGAATACTGAGAAAACAGAAGTTAGGTCTGGTGTCCTGGGAAAATTTTAATCAATGTAATAGCACACTGCACATCTAAAGCTCCCCCTGCAGTTCAACTGAGAACAGATATTTCTATTTGAAGCCCAAACTTACTCCAGATATTCCTGTATTCCAGTGGACACATGAAAATTCCCTCGTTTGTACCATGAAGGAGTAAGACAGAAATATAAGAGTTATCCCTACCTCACAGCATGTTTTAGAGGAGAAGGCCCATTGCTCCTTGATCACTGACAAGCCCTCAAAGACTAATCACACCTTTGTCAAAAATAACCACTGTTCTTGCCCTCTCCCCAACTGGCAGCTACATTCAGCACCATTACCTACGCTTTCAAAGATACACCCTGCTGAATTCATATATCCTGCCTTAGCTCTTCTCTCACCACTTCAGCTTATCAGCCTCATTCTGCCCCCATCTGTAAATGTAGTTCTCTACAGAAAATTTGCAGCTGAATCTAACTTGCAGATAGAAGGTAACTATTTACCTTAGCACCTCAGTCATCAGCCTTCTATCTTGAGAACAGGACCCTTCTGTTCAAGATTTCATCATGCCTTCCTCATCATCTTATAGAAGTCCAGGTTCCTGATGAAGATCACCATGGCTCAAACTAAACGCTTGACCTTTGGCCTTTCACTTCAGCTAGTATGGTTTGTTGTCATGGCTTCTCACTCAGACCCACAATCTAGGCAGCTGTCCAGAATTTTCTCATCCAGTTCCTTCCTCTAGCCTGCCAATTCCTATGTGAGATTTAAAACAGATGGCTTTCTTCCTCTAAGGATACATTCCACTCTCAGCATCTCACTTCAGTTCCTGTAACATCTCTTCCTTCACTTTGACAAATGAAAGCTTGTCCTACTCAACCATTCAAGTGTGATTGTTACAAATTTCATTTTTTTCTTCCCTACTACAGAAGACAGACCACTTGTCCTCCCTTTAACACTGTTCATGTTGTTCTATAACACCTGTTCTCTCTCAGACCTACCAGCAGGATTATTTTGTTTGTGTTTTATTTGACTGCAACCAGCACCACCTGAAGTTTTACCTGCTTACTCATTTTAAAATTACATGCACATTTTCTACAAATCTGCCTCTCTCACACAGAAGTTTCCCATGGACAAGTACAAAGTACTCAATTTCTTTCCTTCTAACCTTTCCCAAACCAGCTACTCTTTCACCTGTTTCTAAATAAAGACTCTACTACTACTCCAAAATAGAATAATCCTGAAAACTCTTATGAGGGTCTACGTTTGGCTCCTGCAAGTTTTAATTTAAAAAACAAGCTGCAAAACAATATACTGAACGTACATACCGGCAAATCAGAGTCTTCTTTTGGAACAGCTCTCTTTAACTTCACAACAGTAGTTCCTGCTACTGGAGACAAAGGGTACACCTTCAGACTAGCCAGCACACTGCTGTTAGTCTTTGAAATATTGTTCTGCTTAGCCTCATTACTTCTCATTCCCAGCTTAGTGTCCTCTGATAAACTGGAGGCTGAAATGTATGTTGAGGCATTTGAAGGAACTGATAATCTCCTAACAGTGTTGGTGGTGCTTCCAGCTGGAGGAGGTTTTAGGCGATCAGCAGCTCCATTCTCAGTCTTCTTCACCTTTATGCTTGTACTTGTTGAACTGCCATCAAATACAATTAATGGCCGTTTCCTTAAACCTTCCACCGTTGCAACACTGAAAATAAAAATTGTAAAATTCTCAGAAAAACAAGCTAAATGACTCAAAAACACCATATCCAAGACGTAAGTAGTGAAAATTAATTTAATGTTGCCTAAAGTAAAAATACATCCCAAAATACTAACCTTAAACTCTTAGCTGCTCAAACTCAGCAACAGAAATTGCTTCCAAACTATAAGGGAGTAGGGGGGGCAGGGGGTTGTGTGAGGAACAGTGTTCCTCAGCAGAGAGCATTGTGTGAGGAACTTTCTAGGCAAACAATGACAGCTGTACAACCAAAGACTGTGTGCTTATACCACTGTAGCTATTTCAGAGTAACTAAAGAGATAAAAGCTCTTAAGTATTTCAAAAGGTATGTGTGAAAGCATGTGCCACCTTACCTACAAGAACAGCATCTAATATTTTGATGCTTCTTAATCTCCTTGGTTCTATTCTTATTCAAAAATGTGTTAAGATAGTCTAAAAGACTGTTAGACAAGGAATAAAAACATTAAGCAAAAAAAAAAACATACCTGCTTTTTAAATAAGCTGTCTTTGAACAGGAATTCTAAGCTGATTTAATAATTTTTTTTTTAATAGTTTGTGCCTCTAAGCCTATGTGTAGTCAGAGCTGGACAATTTAATAACAACTGATTCATGAGAAAGGAATATTTTCAAGCTAATATCAAAACAGTAATATCAGAAAACATCCTGACTGCCAAAAAAATAAAGCACAAAGTTATCACAGCTCACTCTACATGAATTTAGAGTTTTAAAAAAGCGTTGTTCACGAATGAGAAAGAGTTTGGAAAGTGCAGATTTAACAAATAAAAAAATCAAACCACCATTATTTAGTATTCCTGTTTAGAAACTTCAGTTTTCAGTGTACACTTACTGTTTAATCATCTCATATGAAATAAAGGAATTAAAGTTGAACTACAGTGTTTTCAACAATTAAATATATTAATGAATTTGTAATTAATGAATTTTCCAATATTGTTAGGCTAGAACAATAATGTTAGGTATCTCAACAGACTTCAAAATAAACCACAAGCAGAGATTTGTTTGACTTGGAACAACATTAGGTAAGCAGCTGCTGATAAACCTCACGCATTAAGAAATTACACATTGCTCGCACAATTTCTGTCAAGACCAGGAGTTTCTTTAAAAAAAAAAAAAAATCCGAATTTAAGAGCCCATAGAACAAGAGAAAGTTCAGCTCTTATTCAGACTTGTTTCTACATTACTATCTGTTCACAACAACATATGTCACAATCCTACTCTTTCTCTATTCATCACATTCCTGGAACTGAGAGAGACAAAGAAAAACCTCCAACTCATTTGGGTCTTGTTTTTCAAGAAATCAGACACAAGTATGTGGCTTCTATCTACAGTAGAGGCAGTTTCTAGGAGAGCTTCTACAAAATGAGATTAGCTTCCAAGGCCAGGAGTGTTCAGCCAGGCATGTTGTTTCAGTTAAATACTACTGAAACAACAGTAGTCGTTAACATATAGATTAAGGAGTATAAATTCACTTGAAAATCCTAAAAAGCCAATGCACATTTCGAAAATAAAACTTTTTGTTCACTTTGGCTTTATCCAAGAATTTATTCAACACTCCTGACAGGAAACACATTCCCCATCAGCCTTTTTGGAAGGCTAGTTTACAAACTATGTGAAAGAAAAGATTTTATAACTTTTTTCAGTCACCTTCCTTAACATATTAAGTCTGCTTTTCCCATGGAGCTTTGTTTTTTGTTTTTTGGGGGTTTTTTTTGTTTGTTTGTTTGTTTTTGTTTTTGTTTTTGTTTTTGTTTTGTTTTTTTGTTTTTTGTTTTTTTTTGGTTTGGTTTTGTTTTGGGGTTTGTTTTTTTTTTTTTTTTTAATTCAGCTTGGTGAAGACTGCCAAGTCAGGAACTAGCTGCAATTCTAGGAGGATTGTTATCTATTCTAAACTGAATTTTAGAATTGTAGCATTTTGTACAAATGACTGCGTGCTACAAATACCGATAACATTCCCAGAGAAACACTTTGGGAAGGTTCCAAAAGAAATCTGGATGCTGTACCATCAAGAATTGTCACATCTAATTTTTAGATGCAGAACTCTCGGAAGAACACAGAACCTTGGGCATGACATTCACTTTCTTTATATAAAGTACAGGCAGCTGAAAAGCTCCAGAGTAGGACTCATGTTAGCCAGCACTTTTCTGGGGGAGGACACTGACACTAGCTAACAACTGAAAAGCACCATTTTCGGATCGTGTCACCTCCTGCAGGACACACTCTGTGAAATCTAGATTCCAGTGTACATATCATACATCCTAGAGAAATGTTCTAACCACGCTTTGGGCTGGGCTGGATGGAAGGCCTGCTCCAATCCTGCTGTGTACTTTGTAGCACATGGTAAAGAATACAAGATTTGCTAGAGGAAGCAAAACTTTCTCTACATGAGCAATCTGAGTTTTGACTGTTTCAAATGATTACTGATGTAGTCAGGATGGCCTCTGAGCAACTCCTGATTGGGAGGACCATTTAATGAAAAATGCTCCTATTCTTGTCTAGCTTAGCCTGGTACTTAAGGTAGTGCCCTTAAACCAGAGAGAAGAGTAGGTTTTAGCTCCCAGGCCCTGATTCTCCTAAATATTTGCCTGCTACCAAAACAGACAGGTGATCACCTCTTCTGTGAATGTCTAAAACTAGTCAGAAGTACCTCATTTACACTAAGCTCAATATTATCAGTGCACTGGCAGTTCTCAGAGGATGACGAAGTGGCCTCTCAGGTGACTTACGGAGAAATGAGCAGCTCTACCAAGGCCACAGCTCCGAGCATGCACAGACACAGTGCTCCTGGACACTGAGTCTTCAGACTCAGTGGCACTTCAGAAACTACATATACCTTTTGAGATTTATACCAATCTCTTTCTTCCAGGAGGCAAAATGATCTTGTAGATCTACAAAATTAACTGTCCCTGAGCCCAAATACTTTCTGAAATGTTCGAAGTTGGTAAGACTGCATTTGTTTTTTCTTGGTATGATTGCAAGCTCTAATATTCAGTAATAATATGTACAGACCATCATCTGTGACACTTGTGATTTGACTGTGATATCTGATTGTATTATTGAGGTACAACACATGACTGCAGCTCAGCTGGTACACAGCAAGTCTTTTATGACATGCCATCAATCACAAGCAGTAAAACTAAATACAATATTCAACACTGACTTTAAAATCTCAGTGTTTTTACCTCGCATCTGTAACTACTACAGGCATGCAAACACACAGAGCTGTGCTGACCAAGCCTCCAAGTCCCTTATTAATTCCAGCACACATGGTAGAGCTGTGTGGTTTCCACAGAGGAACTCGTCAGAAAACTCCTCTTGTTCATACGATCAGTTTATCTGACTTCTAAACTGAACTAACAGCACACTTAGTTTCCATCTCTGACTTGTACATAACTTACAGCCTCACAATACCTAGGAATTTTGTTTTGTTTTTAAACACAAGAATGCCAAGTTCTACTTCCTCCTGTCCAATGGCATCGTGCCAGTTCTGCTTAAGTGGTGCACACAGCTACGAGGAAAAGTGTAATATTTTAACATCCAAAAATATGATTGAACCTCCTTCATTCTTTCCATCAATATACTAAAACTGAAGTTTTCTCTGTGCAGCTTTTTACTTACTGAAAGTGCTGAAAATCTATTTCTCCCATTTCTCTGGGATTAGTAACACTAGCAGTAGAAGATTAACTTGTTTAGACAGTATTTTGCCAGCATATTTGTTAAGTATGAAAGATGTAATACAAGCAAAAACTAACTGCTGGAGAAATCTTAAAATTGTCTCACAACAGAGCAAAAGACTAAGCCTAGCATGCCAAATGTTAAGTGCTAAGAGCAACTAGTAAAGAAAAGGAGACTGGTAGATTAAGCATATCTCCTTTTACTTACTATCTTCCCAGCAAATACTACATAGGTCTCACCACTACTGAATTTTAGTGCACCAAAATAAGAGCCCCTAAACTTATTCAACATATAAACTTTGGATGAAGCCATTCTCACATTAAAAATTAACATTGCCTCTGTTGTGGTTTGAACCCAGTCTGCAGCCAAACACCCTGCAGCCGCTCGCCCACTGTCCCTCACCTGGGAATGGGGAAGGGAACTGTAGGGGCAAAGGGAGACTCGCAGGTCGAGATAAAAACAGTTTAATAGTAGTAATAAAATAAAAGGGTAACAATAATAGAAAGTATAAACAGGCAGTGCACAGTGCGATTGCCCACCACTCACTGACCCAGCCCATCCCCAGCTAGCGATCCCACAATACCAAGATCCCACAATCGCAATCCCAGGAGTGAGAGAGAGCTCCCTCCTTCCCAGCAGACCCTCCTCTCCATACTGAGCACGACGTTCCATGATATGGAATATTTCATTGACCAATTTGGGTCCGGTGCTCTGGCCGTGCTCCCTCCCCACTTCTTAGGCATCTGCGCATGGGCAGGACACAGGGATTTGGAGAGTCCTTGAAATCTCAGCAACAAACGAAAACATCAGGGTGTTATCAGCATTCTTCTCATACCAAATCCCATACTGAATGTAAAACACAGCACTGCTCTAACTACTAATGAGAAACATTAACTCTATTCCAGCCCAAACCAGGACAGCCTTGTTCTCCCAAACACCTCCAGCCTGCTATCTTCATTTCTTTGATAAAAAAATTCTTCTATGCCTATTTCAGCACATCAACAGTTTCTTATTATTCAAAGATTAAGCTCATGCTTTCATCCTCGAGTTGCAAACAAACTGAGGTACAATAACCATTTATGCATATGGAAAAAAAAAAAAACCAAAACTGACGTAAGACCATTCAGTGTCCTAGCCACTGCTAAAAATTTTAAAACTTAAGAAATCACTTGACAGAACTTGGTTAGCTCTTCCCTGTTAAAAGCCTCGGTAAAGCTAAAACAAACTCATGAAATCAACAAGTTGTAATACTGCAGAACTATAATGAGAATTTCCAACCACCTTTCCTTAGGATTTACCACTGAAGCTAAATCAAAACACCACTCATGCATATCACACATCAAAGTCAAAGTCTTGGGCAGGGGGAAGGCTGGGAGGAGGAGATTCAGCAAAATAAACTTTTGAGGAAGATTTTGCTTTCGTATCGAACACAAACAGAAAGATTTAAAAAATACAGCAGAATGTTTCTTTCAGAAAGCAGATGTTAGTTTTGAATTGGACACACAAAACTGCTGCAGCATACATCCCCTGACTCTAGAGAAGACCAAACCTGTCCAGGGAACAAGCATAATCAAAGATGCTTTCGGTAATTTTCTTAAACACTGTAAATATGATTATTATTTAACAATTATATGAGGAAAAAAAGAAAGTTTTTTTCATCATTATAAAGTACCTTGAAACGTACCAATAACCCAGTATCAATACAGGCTGGGGGATGAAGGGATTGAGAGCAGCTCTGCAGAGGACTTGGGGGTACTGGTGGATGAAAAGCTAAACATGAGCCAGCAGCATGCACTTGCAGCCCAGAAAACCAACCGTGTCCTTGGGCTGCATCAAGAGAAGTGTGGCCAGCAGGCTGAGGGAGGGAATTATGTCCCTCTGCTCCTCTCTGGTGAGACCCCACCTGCAGTGCTGTGTCCAGCTCTGGGGCCCCCAACATAAAGAGGACATGGACATGCGTGAGCATGTCCAGAGGAGGGCCACAAAGATAATCAGGGAGCTGGAACACCTCTCCTGTGCAGACAGGCTGAGAGAGTTGGGGTGTTCAGCCTGGAGAAGAGAAGGCTCTGGGAAGACCTTATGGCAGCCTTTCACTACTTAAAGGGGGCTTATAAAAAAGGTGGGGACAGACATTTTAGCAGGGCCTGTTGCAACAGGGCAAGGAGTAACGTTTTTAAACTAAAAGAGAGTAGACTTAGACTAGATAAAAGGAAGGGGTTTTTTTTGCAATAAGAATGGTGAAACACTGGAACAGGTTGCCCAGAGAGGTGGCAGATCCCCCATTCCTGGAAACATTCAACTTCAGGCTAGACGGGGCTCTGATCAACTTGATCGACTTGAAGCTGTCTCTGCTCATTGCAGGGGAGTTGGACTAGATGACCCTGAAAGTTCCCTTCCAACCCAAACCATTTTATGATTCTACAAAAAGCAGCACTATAAGCTAGATACCACTAATAACATTTGGATGACAAAAAAATACTATCTTCCCCTTTTTCCCATTATTGGAGTAGTAGAATCTAACATATCTGACACAGGAGACCTGGCACGATATTCTCTGTGAACTGTAGCAATGTCCAAAAGCTACAGAAGTTTCATTAATCAGGCCAAGATTAAACTAAATATATTGTCCTAAATTCTCCAAGTCCAGCCCAATAAAAGTTAAGTTACCTTTTATTCTCACTTTTCAATTCATTTTGCTGTCGTTTCTTCTCCATCATTTTCCCCCATCTACTTTTTGGTAAGTCACGCTGAGGCAGGGGAATGGCATGTTGAATATAGAGATCAGTGAGACCATCTTTGCCCATCTTCACGTCTTTTTCAACTAGTATATTCTTCTGCGGGGAACAGAAATAGAAATTATTATTATGACAAATTCAAAGCACAAGCATCTTAGTGGCACAGTTTCTTTTTGTCAAAAGCCACCATAAGGTAGTGTATTGGGCATAAATGCCGGGGATTCAGAAGTGAGGCAGCCACAGGGGTGACAGGCGTGGAGAGGCCAGGAACTGCCCCGTGTCAATGACAGCCCGGTCTCCTGCCCTTGTTTTCTGTGTGGATTACACTCAGTTCCTCCCTTCAGCGAGGCAGTGGGAAACACGGGACGTTCAGGTCAGTGCATAGTGATTTCTTCTTCCACTACTTGCAAGCATGTCCCTTCATATATCTCCTCATGTCCCTCTTCCCACGCGTCCTTTCGTGTCTCCTGGCTCTGGCGGCTGCCACTCTCTGTTAAGCCCATTTGAGCACAGGTGCCATAAGCTCCTCTGCTCGAAACTTTGGTGTGTGATGGGCTGTGTCAGACAGCTGGATCCAGCTGCGACCGGTACTGGGCATTTCATCACCTTTGCCCACACAAGTCAACCCTGCAGCCCCTCCCTATCCAAAACCCTGCAATTTTTCCCAATAAGAATAGAAAGGGAAAAAGTTATGATAGACATACTGCAGTTTATGACGACTGAAGTTTTCATGCGATCTTAAACACGCTTCCCTGAATCCAACTACAGTACCAGAGCTCTTCTTCACACTTCTAAAAAACAAGCAACTAGAACATAACGCAGTTCAAACTTACAGATGTAGAGCCATGCTTCCTAATTCAGTTCTCAAAGAAGGTGTTGTGAGGGGAGATTTCTACTGTCTGCTATAACAGAACACCAGGTTTCTTTCTAATAATGTAAAGGGTTGTTAAGATAAAATTTCTCGGTACCTCCTGCCAAATTTATTTTAAAAGGAAAAAAAACCCACTAATAGAGGTCAAAACAAACTAGAGGTCACTGAAAGCTGGTCAACTCTCTGCCAGTACTGTTTTTGGCAACACTTCATGACTTCTTATGTGGGCCTAAAACCCACATGTGGCAGTTTTGTCCACAGAAACTACGCGTGCATGTACAAGAACATACAAAAATCCAGCAAGCTCAGACACAAACCTAGAACTGTGATTCATGCTGTTTCATGTACCTAAAATTTTCACGCAAGACAATAACAAGTATTCCAAATCGCATCCACTTAAGTTTCACACAGTCCAAAAGTGTTTATAACTCACTTTCAAACTCAGTTTCTTTCAATGATGCATAGCCAAGCATTAGCTGGACTGGTTATGCAGGATGTATCTCCTTAATACACTGGGTTTGAACGCGGCAACTTTAACAGGGTAAAGACAGATTCCACTGACAAAATTTTACTGTATGCAAACGCTGCGTCACAGCCACGCCGATTTACCGGGTGAATTATTCTGCAAACACAAAGCCACCTTCCTCTGTCTCAGCTCTTCCTTTTCTCTGCTCCTCTAAGCACGCACCCAGCCGACAGAGCATCGACTCGGGTTGTTTTGCTGCTCCCCCAACGCTGCCCGCACGCCGGTGAAGGGCGGCGCGAAGGCTGGAAGCCGCAGGGGGCCTGGGAGGGAACTTCCCGCGGGGGTGAGAGGAGGCAGGAGCTGCCCTGAGGGGCCGAGCGGGGAGAAACAAAACAGGGCGGGCCGAACGCGGCAAGCACCACCCCGCGAGGGGCCCGGGCGCACCTGCTCCAGGGTGAGCAGCAGGAACTCCTCCGAGAGCAGCTCCGGGTGCAGCAGCAGCAGCTCGGGCCCCGAACGGCCCGACCCCCGTTCTTCCTCCTCCTCCTCCCCGCCGCGGCCCACCCGGGCCTTCCCCTGCGCCGCCATCTTCTGCCCCCGGCGGCCCCTTTCCGGCCTTCCCACAATGCCGCGCGGGACGGCAGGAGTGGGAGGAGAGCGCGCAGCGCGGGAAGTGACGTGCTGCGCATGACGTCGGGGCGGGGCCCGCCCGGGGCGATTTCTAACCCCGATTTGCCCCGGGGGGGGAGCGGGTGTCACGGAGGGGCCGTGGGGGTTGGTCCCGGTCGGGAGGCAGTCCCACGCAACGGGGGGGGAGGGAGGGCTGCAAGGCAGCCGCGCCAAAGGCCGCTGTGGCGTCACGGGGGGAGGCTCACGGCAGCCGCGCCAAAGACCGCTGTGACGTCACGTGCGGCAGCGGGAGGCGGCCTGTGACGTGCGGGGACAGCGGGGGAGGGGGGGGGTGCGCTCTCTCGGGTGGGATGGGCGGCTCGGCGTTGCCGGCGGGGTGACGTCAGCGCGCGTGAAGGGCGACGCGTTCGCTCCGCGCCGCGCGGGGGAGTCGACGCGGAGGTGAAGAGGGGCCCAAACCTTCCCCGGGCGAGCGGCGGCTGCCAGGGAGCGCTTCTTGAGCTGCGGCAGCAAACAAACGCTGCCCGGGAAAACCGGCGCGTGCTCCCCCGGCTCGCGCGCTGGGGAGCGGGCGAGGGGCGTGACGGATGGTTACGCAAGTCAGCCGCGCTGCCGCCCCAACGTCATGCGGCAGCGCTAACTGACGCGTTTCGCAGGGTCGAGAAGCGCAAGCGACGTCAGCGGACAGATGCGCGCGGAACACGCTGCGTGCCTACGGCCGCGCAGCTGGCGCTGTCGGTGTGCGGCGCATCTAAAAAAACGTGAATTAAGACTTGCCGTGTTTAAAAATCGCTTTTCAGTGCCCAGGCGAGCAGCGCGGTAGCGCCGGCTGGCATTTCCTGCGCGTGGCGGCCTCAGAGCCGCCTCCCTCGTGCTCTCCCTCCTCCCAAACCACCCACAACTACCGTTTTTTTTTTTTTTTTTTTTGAGGGGGAGGGAGAGCTGCTTTTCCCACCCGCGTTTATCCTTTCTACGTCACGGGGGGGGGGGTGCGTCCGTAACTAGGACCTGTAATGTAACTGCAGCGCCCGACGTAACAGCCGCCCCGGGAGCGGCGCGTGCCGCCCGCTCCCTCCCCTCCTCCTCGGACGTCACCCCCGGCCGCAGCCACGCCCCATCGGTGGGCGGGGTTGGGCGAAGCCCCGCCCACCCCACCCGCCGCCGGCGGTGCCGGGGCGACGGGCGCCCCTCCCCCACGTGACCGGAAGGGCCCCGGCCCCTCCCCGGTGAGGCGACCCCGCTCCCTTCCTCGCCCCTCCCCTCCCCGCCGGGAAGCGGTGACGCTGGCGCAGGGCGGGGCTTCTGCGGCACCGGAAGCGGCGCGTCCCAGTTCCCCGGTGTCCCCCTCCCCCCTTTCCCCCTCCCTTCCCCCCCCCCCCCCCCCCCTTTCCCCGCTCCCGGCGGCGGAGCCCAGCGCGCCGCGAGGGCCTGGGCGCTGGCACCGCAAAGGCCTCGAAGCGGCGGGCCCGGGCTCCCGGTGTCGGCGGCGGCTCCTGGTTCTAGCAGGTGCTGGGGGGGGAAGGCGAGCGGGAGGAAAGGCTCACGTCGCCGGGCCGGGGGGGTGTGTGTGTGGGGGGGGGGGGGTGCGGGGCCGGGTCGGGCCGTGGGCGTGTGAGGGGGCGAAGGGATCGGCGGCGGTCGTTGGCGGCGCGGGGTGGGGGGGGTGGGTGTCCGTGGAGGTGCGTGGGGGTAGGGCGCTGGCCCGTGGGGCGACGGCGAGCGCAAACGTAAATGCAGAGCAAGGTGTTGCTGAACAAAAGTGGGGAGGGGAGGAGCCGCTCTCCACCGCTTACCGGCCACGGGCGCGTGCGGGGTTGTCGGTGCGCTTAAAGAAAATAAAATTTAGCAGACTGCTAATTTGCTTGCCCAGTCGCTTATTTTTGTTTTCCACGGCAAACGTCCGCCTTATCTGGTTTTTCCGGAGTTCTCAACACCTGCGAAGTAGCGCGCTGACTTCCATTTGTAACTCGGGGGTGGCCTCTTGCGCTTTAAAGGAGCGGCACGTTCCGCAGAACCTGCTTTGCAGTGTGTGTGCAGGCCCCTGAGATCTTGAAAATGAAAACAAAATAAATGTAAAAAGATACCACGTGCCGATTACGTGTGTTGCCGTTGGTGGTTCTTAAAAGCTTTTCTCACAGCTTTTTTTTTTCTAGTGTGAATGTTTTAATTTCTTTACTACCAGAGTTTGTTCTTTCTGCTTGGGGATTGTGTATCTATTTGGGTTTATTTTATGCTTTTCCTTTTCATCTACTTACATTGAGTAAGTGTTTTGGAGGTTTTTGGTGGAGAGCAAGGTTCTGTAGTTCTCCCAATGGCATACATTAACATTTTTTTACCTTGGGCTAGGGGAACGTTAAGTTGACAGCTTCAGGTATTAAAGCAGCCTGACCTCTCCAGACAATAGTTTACCACTTCAGGCTACACACAGGCTCTTAAAAATGGCTGGGTTTTTTTGGTAGTCAACCTTTGGGCAGCCCTCTTTAACTTAATACGCTATGTTTCTTTTGATAATGTTGGAGGATAACATGGTTATGTTGCCAGAGACTTGCATTATCATTTTACCTTAGGCTGTTTCTCTAATGCTTCCTGGGTTTGGTTTTTTTTTGTTGAAGGTGAGAACACTAATTTATACCCCAGGTGAGGATGCAGTTTGAAAATGCCAAGGAAGCCCAAACTAAAATCTTCTTCACTTTTGAACAAAAACAGGAAGTTCTTGGCATAAGAGATCACTACTATCTCTTGGTAACATGGTTTGCTTCTGCTATACTCTTAGTTTGATCTAATTTTGTTTAGTGGTTATTTCTGAGTTGTGTGCCTTACCTATTCTCAGTTTTGGAAAATGTTGCCATGGTTTTCAGTGTTCTCTTGTAAAAGCAAAAAGGGTTTTTAGATGCACTAATTTGAAACTAAATGTTGGTCCACAGAAATTTCATTTGATGTTTCCTGTCTACATTGTACCTGTGGACTAGAAGTAGTAATTGTATATATTATCTCTTAAATCCATTCCAGTTGTTCAGTGTTGTGCCTTCCCCAGTGTTGGCTAAGTGGCTGTTACAGACCAGTCATGACAAATTAAAAGGTGATTAAACAAGGTCAGCAATTTCTCATCTGCTCTTCTTTGGAGTGGTGAGCACAGCTGTCTGCTGGTTTCTTATAAAAATAACACAAGTCTGGAGTACAGTAAAATTACACAGACTGTTTCTAAAACACTATTAATTGCTTCATAAATTGTATCTGTCCCTTGACAGTGCTTGATTGCAAAGGGGTAGGTATAGTTTGTAGAATGAATATTAGAAGTGTTGCTTGGCATTTGAAGACAGACTTTTGGAATGTTGTGATAGAGAACAGAAATTCTTTTGATTTCTTGTGAGATTGCATCTTGAGCTTAATGAATGCTTTATGCTATCCATTTGCTGTGATTATGTGCTTCATAATTGCTGGTTCATAGAGTATGATACAGGGAATGTGTAGGTAGCACTGAATAAAATTGACATTCTACAGATTAAAAAAAAAAAGACAAACCCCAGCAAACACAAACCAACAGCTTTTATTATGAGTTGGATGATACCTTGTGAAAGTTATAATTTAAGTGTCCTGGAAGTTGTGTATTTCTGAGTACTGGAGGGTGAGGAATCTAAAGTATGTGTTAAAATGGAATATGCCTATGATATTTCACTAAGAAACTAAGAGGCCTAAGTTGAGTGTAAAGCAACATGAGATGTTAACTTGTAGCACTAAATGCCTTGTGACTTCTCTAGAAATGTGAGTGCTGAAGCTTGTATATTTTCATGTACAGGTGATAGAAACCTGTGCGTGACGGGTTTATAAATTGCTAAGTAATGGCAGGAAACACTTGTAGGGCCAAAGTGTCTGAGAGAACCAATAATATGCTGATTACTTGTGGAGTAAGCATCACTTCAAAATAGCTGGGTGCTGTTGTGAATCTCTTTCAGAATGGACTAGAAGTAGAAGCATGCAATTCGATTTATTTCTGCGGTTATTAACGTGCTCATTCTGGCTTGTGTAATCGGGTTGGATATAAACTATTAAAAACACAACAATGGAGTTGTCTTATTGGTGAATGTTAAGTTGCTACCTCTGATATTTGACTATGTGTGTGTGGAGATAAATGGTGGGTTTTTTTCTCTTTAATCAGATCACCCAGAAGACACAATGAGTGTTAAAGCTTTCAAGCTCGTTTCTGCTGTCGAGCGGGAGATGTTAATGGGAGACAAAAATTACATCAACATCGAATCCATTGAGTGTTGTGGGAAGAACCTCTATATTGGAACCAATGACTGCTTTATCTATCACTTTCTGTTGGATGAAAAGATATCAACAGCTGGGAAAATAACTTTTGCTGCCACCAAGCAACTGCATAAATACCTGGGCTTGAAGAAGCCTGTGAGTGAGCTGAAAGCAGCCTCTGCCCTCACCAGGCTTCTTGTGCTTTGCGACAACACGATAACACTAGTTAACATGATGAACTTGGAACCTGTCCCCACTGGTGCTAGAATCAAAGGAGCTGTGACGTTCACATTAAATGAAAATCCTGTGAGCGGGGATCCTTTCTGCGTCGAAGTCTGCATTATCTCGGTCAAGCGGCGGACCATTCAAATGTTCATGGTGTTTGAAGACAGAGTCCAGATAGTGAAGGAAGTGTTTACTCCAGAGCAACCCTGTGCTGTGGCCGTAGATGGTTATTACTTATGTCTTGCACTTACTACACAGTATATAATTTTGAACTATAATACCGGCGTCTCCCAGGATCTATTTCCTTATTGCAGTGATGAGAAACGGCCAATTGTGAAAAGGATAGGCAGACAAGAGTTTCTGTTGGCTGGCCCCGGAGGCCTAGGTGAGACTAAGGATTGTATTTTTTTTTTTGCAGTTTTTTTTTAAACTTCTCTCTCTTAATTTCTCTCAATTTGGGAAGAAAAGCTTCCAAATCAAGTGTCGTGCGCAATAATGGTCATTTTCTTCACAGGGCTGTACTGGAATGTTGAGATAGAAAGGTAGATGGTAAATTTTTGGTACTAAGTATTATTATAACTCTCCTGCTTTTTTAATGCACAAAAATGTGATTATTTGTATTTTAATCATGTCTGTAGAAAGCTTCATTTCTGTATAGACATCTAACAGTAGTAGTATCTTGCAGCCCAGAGTAAGAAAAAAATTGGCTGGTACCAAGTGAAACTTCAGAGGCTGATAGCCTCTCTGTATTGACTAGCCAGACTGGGTTTGAGGAGCCCCATGTTGCTGTAAAATTGTTAAATTAGTGTAGATGAGGTTTTTTTTTTCTTCAGTTGCTATTCAGAGGATTTTTTCCGAAGTCCATTTTATAGATTGCAACAGATTCACAAATAGGTACGTTGCACTACAGTGCTAGTAAGAGATGTTAGTGGAAGTAAACAGTATCCTAACTCCCATGGAAGTAAACTCCATCCTAACTGTAGATGATGTCAGATACTACCCAAGTTTTATGCTCCCATTTGCTTAATTTTTTTAGTACTATTTTTCAGCTCCGTATTACAGACTATAATAGTTTAAGTATTGCAAAACAGAAATTGGATCATATGAAATAATGCTCTTCTCTTATAGACAGGTGATTGTAAAGTCTACTGCTCCTGTAATCTATCTAAATCAACAATATGCTGTGAGGTCAGTAATCCTGAGCTTTTTTTGGAAAATCTGCAATATCCCAGAGCTGAGGGACCACAGGCAGAATGCTTTCATGCTGTTTACCATATGACTCTCCATTTAGGAGGTGCAGTTTAAGTATCTTCCATGACACATCAGGAATAGCGTGACACAAAGATCACAACTATTTAGGCCCTTCATTCGGTGATCTGCATGGATTTTGGCTTTTTAATATAAACTCCGAAGAAAAGGAGGAGTACAATCAGTTGTTTATATTGAGGTTTTGTCTTGTGACCCGAATGTGAGATGTACATCAGCTCACCAGTTTTTCCTGAAAGAAGTAGAGTCATTAGAATATCAGTGTAGGGAAATCAAAGGTATTCCAAGATGAACTTGTTTTTCAGACACAGGGCTTTTCTAAGCCATCTTGGTTGCCCACTTCCTATTAAAACTGTTAGTTGTTTTAAATGCGAACATGTATTTTTGGACATTAACCATTCTAGTAGTGCTATGAAAGTTCAAATTTGTGAATTGACTGACTGAAAGTATTCCCTTTTGACATGTTTCTAAGGCGATCCCGTTCTTTCTTTAATCTTTATTTGTCTTTTTAGGAATGTCAAACCAGAGTCTGTTCATGTGGGTCATTTCTTCCTCGGTTTAAGAGGAATAGATATACTTTCAAAAGCATAATTGTATTTAGTCAGAAAGCAGAATTTTATTTACTATTACTTGCTTTTATCTGGTGTCCTGGAAGAGAGCTATACAATAAGACTTTTACTCATAAAGCCCAACGTCCTTGTGTAAGTAGATTGTCTTGGAGTTAGAATATCAGCTATGTGGTATCTTAAGCAAACACACTTCTGCAGCTCTAACTCATGCTATAAACTTCTATTTTTCTCATAACACAGGCAAAGTCTATCTTGTATGAGCTCAGAAACCTTACAAAGACTGCGTGCTATGGATTGTATAGTTTTTCTTTGCCTAATTTAGCTTGTGGGTTGTCTTTTTTTTTTAATCATCTGTTCTCTATTCCCTTCCCACTGTCATTTTGACTAGTATTATCCATCTTGCTGTTCTTCCTTGGTAAAATTCTTAGTGTCTTTAACACTCGTCTCTAAAGTTGTGAAGATGTTTGAGCACCTTTATAATAGATAAGCATTGTGTATCTCAGCATTTGAGGTAGGCCTTTGCTATAAAGTGAATGGACTTGAAAAGGCTTGATGTAAATCTTCATTTCTAATTTTGGTTTGCTTTTGCACATCTTATTAGTTAAGACATGTTCATTTGGCATGTGGTAAAGCATCCATGGTAAATTCAGCCTCTTTTACTGAGGTGGATGTATCCTGCTTTAATATATTAGTCTTTATAGTGTTTGAAGTGACATTTATTTAGATTAATTTGTTTTTGAGTTAAGACTGGAATTTAGAATGGCAAGAAAGCAGCTGTTTAAAATGGTAATCATAAAGTAAAACACCATTGAGCTTCTTGGGTATGTAACCTTTTCCCTTACCTGGACTCCTTGCATTTAAAACTGATTGTTAGTATTTTTCATAGTTGATCCATAGACTTAACCATTCGGTACTTTGTTGGCTCTACTTGCAGCTAGTATATAGCTCATTGTTTCAAAAGGAGGAGGAACTTCATTATTTTTTTTATGCATCTTCATTCTGTCCAGTAATTTGTTTATTGGGAATTGAAAATCAATTCTTTCTGATTATGTATGAAGCTATGCTTACCAAAATTCAGTTTTTAATTTCTTGAAGCTCTTGTTGCATGTTTCTAATCAGATTTCCTGCCATACAAAGCCTTTAAGTTTTTTAAATTTCATCAAACAGTTCTTAGATATTGGCACAGGGTGTGCTTTCTAGCACCAGTGGGAGCAACTGCCCCAAAATACCAGAGGCCTCAGCTCAGACCCAGCTCCTGAAGGAGGAGGGTGCAGCTCTTCAGGTCTTGAGCTGAAGGGAGCGCCTGGTGCCTCTTGTGGAGACTGGGGGAGAGGGAAACGTTGTCCTTGCCTGCAGGAGGTGTGTGCTTGGTTAAGGATTTCTGTTGCTAAATAAAGGAGATGCAGGAGGAGGTCAGCAGAATGCATGGCATAAGAGATGACATAAAGGAAATTGAACCTTCTCCAGGACCCAGGCATGAGCCTGAACCCCCAACTGTACTGAGGGAAGGGCTGGCTGAGTTTCTGCTTGTTCTGGGATGGTAAAGGCTGGAAACTTGTGACTCCTCATAAAATGAAGAACTCTCCTCTGCCTGCAGGTCTGCTTCTGTAGAATATGTTCACTGTTCAGCAGTTGCGGATGAGAAGCAGGAAACTGTCCAAAAAATCATCTGAGCCTGTATAGTGCACTAGCACCAGGAGGAATTAGCAAGTTAGTAGTAGTGGGAGACTCTCTCCTATTGGAGATGGAGGTTTTCTCATCAGTCCTGCTGGTGAGGAAGAACAGCTTGAGGAGGAGTGGGTGGATTGTGCAGGTCACCAACTGATTGCACGGCTTGTGGTGATGAGGGATTTGGCTTTTATGACTGTGGATCGTGATTTAAGGAAGAGATGGGATCCACCAGGCCAAGTGAGGCAAAAGCATTTTTGGCAACAGGCTGACCAAACTGGTGAGGAGGATTTAAAGTAGGAATGGTGGTGGTAGGCTGAGTTGGCAAAGAGACTTCGTAGTCAACAAACACAGCTTAAGAGGCCCTGCTTCAGGCATATGCACGCAAAGATGTCTGTACAAAACAACATGATGGTGAAAGCTGTCTCACTTATTCTGGGAAATCAGCACAGCTGTGTGTTAACAGCTAAGGCTAGGGGTTACCCTTTACATGAGAGCAGCAGAAAGATGTGGTAGTGTGCCTTAGGACAAAGGAGGAGGCAACTGAGAGTTTATGGATTAGGGTTGGAGGGCACACTAACATGGGTGACACTGGTGTCTGCTACAGACCCACCTTATCAGGAAGAAGCTGTAGGTAAGGCCTTTTCAGACAACAGGAAGAAACCTACGTTTGCAGGTCCTGGTTCTTAGGGAGCACTTGAGCCACTCCAGTACCTGCTAGAGGGGCAGCACAGCAGGGCACAAGCTGTTCTTATTTCTGGAGGGCATTGATGGTTACTGAGGAGCTGATGAGAGGATGTGCTTTGTTGAACCTGACTAGGGATGTGAAGGTCAGGGGAGCAGCCTTGCTACAGTGTCCATGAGGTGGTGAAGTTCAGTACCCTGAGAGAAGAGAACAAGGCAAAAAGATCACAGGCCTGGACTTCAGAACAGCAAACTTTGTTTTGTTCAGGGACCTGATTAAAAGAATCCCACGGGAAATAGTCCTGGAGAGGAGTGCCTCCTCCAAGTTCAAGCATGGTTCATCCCAATGAGCAGAAAAACAAGCAAAGGTGGCAGGAGGCCTACATTAATGAACAAGCAGCTCTTGACTAAACTTCAATATAAAAAGGAAGCAAATGAGGTGAAAGCAGGGATGGGTGACCTTGGAGGAATGCAAAGTCCAAGCATGTGGGATGGGGTTAGGGAGGCCACAGTCCATCTGGCATTGAATGTGGTGGGCAACAAAAAGAGCTTCTACAAGCATATCTGCAGCAAAGGAAGGCCAAGGAAAATGGATACCCACAGCTGAATGGGGTGGGTGTCTGGTGCCAAAGGACATGGAAAAGGCTGAGGTGGTTAAGGCCTTCTTTACCTCGGTCGCTACTGATACGATCTACCTTAGGAAATCCTTAGGACCAGTGGGAAAATGTAGAGCAACAAAAACATGCCCTCAGTAGAGAAGGATGAAGGTTATGGAACGTTTAAATAAACTGGACAGACAAATCAGTGAGACCTGATGGGATGCACCTATGAATTCTTGAGTATGGTGGTTGGTGTCATTGTGAGGCCAACTCTTGGTTATCTTTGAAAGGTCATGATGACTGGGGGATGTTCCTCAGGACTGGAAGAAAACAAGTATCTTCACTCCTGTCTTAGATGAGCAAGAGAGAATGTACAGGGAACTACAGACATGCCAGCCTTATCTCAGTCCCCAGAAAGGCGATGGAGAAAATGCTCCTGGAAGCTATTTCCAAATATACAAAGGAGAATAATGTGATTTGAAGTATTCAACATGATTTACAAAAGGGAAATTGCCTGACCAGCCTGATAACCTTGTATGATTAGGTGCCTAAATTGGTGGGTAAGGGAAGAGCAGTGATGTTGTGAACTTCAGCAAGGCTTTTGGTGCTATCTTCCATAACATCCTTGTAGACAAACAGATGAACTAGAGAAACAGTGGATTAAAAGCCTGGCTCAAAGTTTTGTGGTCAGCTGGACTTCGTGTCAGTGAGGCCAGTCACTACTCATGTACCCCAGGGGGCTGACGGTGAGGTCAATACTAGCATCTTCTTTAACAACATGGATGGTGGGTCCGAGTGCACCTTCCAGCAAGTTTTCAGATGATACAAAAGTAGGAGATGTGGCTGATACACTGGGGAGTCGTGCTGCCATTCAGAGGGACTTTGACAGGCTGGAGAAATGGGCTGAGAGGAACCTCATGAAGTTCAGCAAAGGGAAACATCAAGTCCTGCACTTGGGGAGGGACAACCCCATGCACCAGCACAGGCTGAGGGCTAGCCAGCTGGAAAGCAGCATCTCAGGGAGGGACCTGGGACAAAATGACCGTGAGCCAACACTGTGCCCTTGTGGCAAAGAAGTCCAGCAGTCTGCTGGGTTGCCTTAGGAAGAGCGTTGCCAGCAGGTTGAGAGAGGCAGTTCTTCCCCTCAGTCCTAGTGAGACCACATATGGAGTGATGGGTCCAGTTCTGGGCCCCTCTGAATTGCATGGAGTAAATGCACCGAAGGACCAGAAAGATGACTGACTGGTTGGAGCATTTTGTGGAGAGGCTGAGAAAGCTGAGACTGTTCAATCTGAAGAAGAAAAGGTTTGCAGAGATCTTGTCAATGTAGGGGGGGAGGGGTGGTAATGAAGACAGGGCCATACTGTTCAGTGGTATTGTATCCAGTGAAAGGGTGAGAGGCAGTCAGTACAAACTGAAATACAGGAAATTCTATGCAAACACAAGCAAAAAAAAAAAAAAATCCTCATTGTGCTGGTGATCAAACCAGGAAACAGGTGTTGGAGAGGATGTGGAGTCTCTGTTCTTGGGAGGTACTCAACCTGACTGGGCGAGATCTTGAGCAACCTGTTCTAGTTGACCTTGCTTTCAGCAGGGAGGTTGGACTACGCAGTCTCCAGAGATCCCTTCCTGCTTCAAATATTCCATGATTGTAATGAGTAAAAAATACAAATTTTTAATACCTAATTTTAGTTTATTCCTTTTGCTTTTCCAGAATAAGCTCTTCTTAGTGCATGGTTTGAATAGTTGTATAGTTGACTGAGTAGATGAAGAACTGAGCCTTACAAGTTAGAACAAGCACACAGGTACTCAGCAGAATGATTCGTAGGTTATGCAGTGCCTTTTCTCATAGCTGATGACACTGCAGAAAGCAGGGTAGTCAGCAGTTAACCAGCATGTTCCTTTCTTGTTTTCACCCACGTGTAGTATTCCTCATGCTGTCAACTTTTATGGCAACTGGAAGTTTTCATATTCCTTTTTAAGCAAGTAATAATAAAGAAGTTTTAATTCTTACAGATATTTTCACTGAGATGCTTTTTGTTTTGAAACAAAATCTACAGTCTATTCCACAGAATCCTGAGTGACCTGATCTGAGTTGATCGTGCTTTAAGGGGGTGGGGGGTGAACTGGATGTCCTTCAGAAACCCCTTCTGACTTAAATTATTCTATGATCCTATAAATTTCTAGATCTCTTAGTGCTCAGAACAGTGTAGCTATGTTTTGGGTAACTCTTGTAACCTTTGGATAGCATATGCATTTTTAATACAGAATTGATTACTGGCTTCATCTCAGTTTCATCAGGCACATTCCTGTACTATAAAAAGGCCATGGTTTGTGATTGTAGTTGTCATGTTTATTGTTATCCTTAAGTGAGAGCTGGATGAAGACAGAGATGCATCATTCTACCACAGAAATCCTAGCTATTAAGGGCAAAGGGATGTAGAGAGACATTGACTTGGAAAAGCACTGTGTATTGCTCTGCATACCCTTTTACTTCCATAGAGGATTTTTTTTTAATTACCTAAAGAGCAGCTCTGTCATTCAAAAAAAAAAAAAAAGTTTTTAAAATAAAGGTTTTACAATATTTTTTTGAGAATGTCAGAGAAATAGAAAATTCTAAGATTTAATGTTTTAAATATAATTAGCCCTGAGTTTACTACTGGTCAGTATGTATTTAACTCCAGTTTTCTCACACTTTTTGAAATAGGATTACAGCACAGAGGAGCAACTGGAAAGCATTAAAAATGATTAATACAATCTGCCTGGCATAAAATTCCATCTCTGTTCCGTAAGAAAATCAAAAACTGTAGAGGAAATCTGGAATTATGTATTGTGGCCAAAAAAAAGTATTTTCTGTAAGGCAGTCTGAAAAGCTGATCGTATAGTGAAAAAGCAACTAGCACTACTTGTTCATATCAGCTGTGAAATTTTAATTTTGTGTTGCACCCTTAGTCAAGCAAAAGGGCTGATTGTTTCAAAACTGCTGTAAAGGATCTAGAAGCTTAGTCTCTACACCGTAATTCTGTAAAAATCTACAACCTTCTGTTTTCCTTTTTTTTTTTTTTTTTTTCTCTTTTTTTTAATTCCAAGATGGTCCTCCTACCCGGCTACCCTTGTCTCATTATCTTCTGTTTGGAAGAGATTTTGTAAATTGAATAACGTAATCTTTTAATCTCCTCTGTCCTTTAGAGCTCAGACTTACTCTACCAGCTGTCAAGTGGCTCATTCCTGCCAAAGAACAATTTTCATGGGCGTGTCATTTTTAATGGCCTGAGAATAGTGGATTTAAGGGGTATGCATTCATGTTTAGAACAGAAGTTTTACATAGTGCTTCACTATGGCTCAGCTGGCAAAGGGTTACTGAACTAGGTCTGAAAACGTTGACTGGAGTTTTTCTTCAATTAATGTCCAAAGAGAATTGGGAAATACCAAATACCATAAATAGAGAACCTGTGGTCCAAAAGCAAGTCAAACTTTTATTAGACTAGGAGAAGGAAGGAGGACAGAATAGACAGGAGGAGAGAGAGTGGCAAAGGAAAACACAAGTTAACTGAAGATTGAATATGGTTATTTTGAAGACATCATAGGAGGTATCATTGGGATATTTAAAAAGTCTTTACTCTCTGCTTGGCTTTTGGGAAAATATGCTTTATACTCAGCCTCTGCATTTTTTTCAAATGATTGAAAATGCAGATGCCTCACAGGAAGTGGCTAATTCCAAGGAGCTGGATCCTTGTTCTGTGAAAATTTTGCTGTAGCAGAAGTGGAGAAGTATAAGTAAACGATTGTCTGTTAGCTAAGATGCTCTTTAGACACTACAAGGAATAAACATGCCTGGATTGCCAGATAGGTCAGGCAGTGCGGGTCTGCAGCCTCCTGCTAAGGCAGTATTGTTTGAATGCTGGGTCTCACTAAATATTAATGTTCTGAAATGAATTCAAACTACATGGCATCATTCAGATTAAAAAAAAATCTGAAGCTTACTAAACTTGAATAGTTCTTGCTGGTTTATTTCAGTATTCCTCTCTTTTTCAGTTTTTGGTGTTGTCTGTTTCTGTGGTGAAGGAGAAAGCGGGGCAAAAAAAAAAAAATCATTGAACTCAACTAACCAGCAGGTTCCTAAGGTCCGGGGAGGTATGATGCGGTTCCATCATGCCCCCTGACACTGCATCTGTTCTTCTGAGCCTTTTTATTTCTGTGCCTTGGTATCCATGCTTCGTATGGGGAAAACAACAGTCTTCAACTGGCACGAGCCTCAGGCTTTGTTTTTCCTTTTTTGTAGGCATGTTTGCAACTGTAGACGGGATTTCACAGCGTGCCCCTGTGCACTGGTCGGAGAATGTGATTGGAGCAGCGCTGTGCTTTCCTTACGTGGTTGCTCTCGATGAGGAGTTCATTACAGTGCACAGCATGCTGGACCAGCAGCAAAAGCAAACCCTGCCTTTTAAAGAAGGTCACATTCTACAGGACTTTGAAGGTATTAAAAAGGACACCTTTTTGCATCAGTAATTCAGGAACAACTGCTGCTGTGGGCACAGTCACTTCAGTTTCTTTTTTAAACAAAATACCTAGCAAGCATGTTAACTATTGAAACTTTTATTGAAAATGCTTTCCTGATTAGATGCTTGCAGACTACGATAGTAAAACTTCAGTCATCTAAAATATTCCTGATTCTGACAAAATGTATGCTCATTAAATGTACTCTCATTGTCAAGTTAATTGTTGGATAGGAGTCTGCGATTGGAGCGTTTTTCTTGTAACCTGATTATTTCTTTCAAAGGAACAATTCATTTAATGTTACGTGTTAATAATTGTGAGCTACAGGTATTTGTCCACTGGCTATCTTGGCAAAATTCTAACATCTTCAAAATTGTTCTTTTATATTCCTTTCTAAAATACCTGTGGAAGAGGTTTAAAATGGGATATTTCATAAAGAATTGTTACACAAAAAATACAAAAAATTCTTTTGATCTGTACTGCAGTTAAGAACTCTTAAGTGTGAAATACATTGTGTTGCTATTTTTTTCCAAGAGAGCTACAAGCTCTAGTATTATGAACCATATGTTACTTGCTACCTTTGATGTATAACCTACAATTTTCTAATGTAAGTCTGTGGAAATATCTGGCAGTTAAAAGTCCCTGTCATCTGGAATCTGGGCAGTAGTTTCAGTGGTGGCCTTTACAGCTTAGTTCATCATAAGAGATTATAGCCAGTTTCATTTACTCGGAGTGGAAGGAAATCCGCTGTAAATAAATAAATTTACCATTGTCTCTGTATTTCTGAAGTGCAATTGACAGGTAAACTATATGGTAGCAACAAAGATAAGTTTTGGAACTTTAACACTGTTTAAGTTCTTGTATCTTAAATAGTGAATCTTAAAGCTTATTCCTGAAGCGTATTTTTTTCTGTAGAGAAAGTAAACTGAATATATCTGTTTGCTCTATCTAGGAAAGGTGATCGTTGCTACTAATAAGGGTGTGTATATCTTGGTGCCACTACCACTGGAAAAACAGATTCAGGATCTTCTAGCCAGCCACAGAGTGGAAGAAGCCCTTGTTCTAGCAAAAGGAGCTCGAAGGAATATTCCAAAAGAGAAATTTCAGGTCTGTCCTTCCTTTAATTTTCATGAAAATATAAATTTCACAGTGGGGCCATGTATACCTGTGGTCAAGTGACTAGCGAGGGTAGGGGAGGAATTTACACTGAAAAGAAATCTAATACCTTTTATGGTTTCAGCCTGGGGAAATAGATGTGCTGCTGAATTGTCTTGTGCTTATAAAGGCTGGGATATTGGCAGGTTGAATGCTGTTGTTCTGCTGGGGTTTTGGTGTTTTTCAAGTGTGTAACTTGAAAAAATGGAAAACAAACTCGAAAAACTAGTGATAGAAAATCCAGTGTGTTGCTTCCTTAGTACTAGGTTCAGTTATTATTTGTTATTACTGTTTAAAAAACATACTTTATTTCAAAAAAGAATTGTAAGGTTTTACTTTTCTATATGCTAAACTCCACAGTATTCCAACTTCAAAGTTAAATGATGGGAAATCTAAAGCAAATACATCCTTCGTCCAAACTCATACAAGTAGTACTTATACTGGTGTGTAACTGAATATTTAAGATTCTCGTGTGGCAAAGTATCTTAGTAACTCTTTGATTAGAGTGTTGATTTGAGATTTGTATTCATTTCTTCCTACCTCTGGTTTATATTATTGTATTCTACATATTCTACTGTGTTTAGTCCTATTTGTCATTTAGAGACTGAAACTTGGAAAAAGAAGCATGAAATCTCTGCTTGCCAAGTAGGTGAACGAGTATTTGCCTCGGTGTCTTTCCTTTTGAAAAAGCAAAATTTGATCTGTAACCTGCAGGAAATTTGGTTTGTTTTTTCTAACGTACTTTGGAGCATTTTGTTGCCATTAAAATAGTACCTGTTGCATTACTTTAGGTTTGTTCAGCAAGATGTAAAGTTTTGAACATGACTGTGGAAAGTACAGAATTGCAATGGTCCAAAATGATTCAGTCTATCGGGATTTTTTTTTTTTTTTTTTTTTTTTCATTTCAAGAAGCCTCTAATTTCTTGTTATTGAAATTTTGGTCAAGGCCTTTGAAAAGCAGTCATTAAATTAAATTAAATTTATATTAGCTTTTATTTTGGTCCTTAACGCCTCCATTGAATGAACAGCTGAGAGGCTGCTGGAAGTAAAAAGCTTGGCCAGAGAAGTGTTTCCATCCTTTTGCTAAGGTACAACTATCTGGAAGTACAAGAAGCTGAAAAGCATTTAGGAAATACAGAGTTCATGTTCCATCATGTTTTGCCTTGCATCTTCACTTCTAACTTTTCAATCTGTTTAAAGAAGCAAACTAAAATCCTGCTGTGAGGACAGGGTGCATGATCTAATCGATGTCTTCTATGTGTGATGACCTCTAATTCTCCAATTATTTTTTTCTAGTTTATGTAGATTTAGTGTCGGAGGTGTCTTTCTGTGTGTGTCACAGGATGAACTATGTGATGTAGAATCTCATTCCTCCTAAGTTTTCTTGCATTTAGGATTTTTGTCTTTAGGATAAGTTATGTTCTGTTCACATGTATCTTATGTGCACAGTGTCTGTCTTCCTGAAATTACTGTTTCCAAGACATATTGTAAGTTCTTTCTAACTTAATGTGTTTTTAAGGGTGTTCAGATACTTTGAGTCAATGTTATAGCTGAAGAACAGAGAACATATTACTTGCAAGCAAAATAACCTGTTCTAGTTCTGGGCAGTATTTACAAACTGATATTAACCAGCTTAAATTGATGGAGTCTCCCACTGACTCATATTAAAATGAATCAACTTGGCTGAGTTGTTGAGACATTAGTCCAATTTTTCAAAGCTTATCTGTAGTTGGAAGTATAACGTGTTGAGCTTCCTTTCTCATGTACCTCTGAAAGTTAATGCTCCCATTACAGGTTTGTTACAAGCACATCAGACTTTCTGTTACTGTAGTCTCACATAATACAAATCTGATGGACTTCAACCAAATTACATGCTTTACATATATCTTGGCAACGTTTCTTTGGCATATTTTAACTGATCACATAGGTGCTCCCTTCCTAACTCCTGTCTAAGAGATTTCTTCAGGTAATAGAGAGATAATAGGTATCTTCTAATAGATGTCTTTGGATATCTATCTTGCAAGCTTTACTGATTCCTGAGTAGCTTTCAAGCCCTTATTTTGCCATTTTATATGAGCAGTGGGAAGGAATGCATAGGTTCGACATTAACACACTTGATCCAGCCACTGTAATTTATCTATACAGAAGAGTGATAGAAATTGTCTGGTACGTGTAGTATAGTGCCCACTTTATCACATGCTGTTTTAATTTCTGCAGTTTGCAATGGCTTTTGCCATCTTATGTGTGACTTGAACTCAGTCATGGCATTGTAGGACAGTTCTTGATGACATGTTTTTTTTTTTCCTACAGTTCAATACTGCATTGTCAGTGCATGCATACACAGATGCATGCTCTCTATATATATCAGCAATATTATTTCAGCATAAATATATATATGCTGATAATGCAGAATGATACTGGGATTGAAACAGTAAAGTACTGTCCTCAGAACTATTTGTATAGCCAATATTTAGTTATTGGAAAGAAGCAGGTCATGCATTAGTAGCTCTATTTAACCCATGGTCTCTGCAGACTGCAAATTTATCTCTGCAATATTAGATGAAAATTCTTTGTCTTTGAGCATCAAGAATTACTGCTAGGTAAAAAACACTAAGCAAAAGTGTTTTAAGGAGATGGCTTCGCTAGATATCATTTTTGGTAGAAGAATACAAAGGCCTTTCTACCATGCTACCATGAAATGACTGAATACGACTTACTAATTTTTCAGGACAGATGAAGTTTGCAGAAATCATGGTTGATGGTAGTGAAGACCTTGGTTAGATTGACACACATCTTGCATAGGTATCTCTTTTTTTTTTATTATTTTTTTTTCCATCTAATTTCTTTTTAGTTTCAAAAAACATATTAACTGCACCCAAACCTGATGAAAAGCCAAAGTGACTTTCTAGAAAAAAATCTTTTTGTCAATCCAGTTAGTAAATCTGCCCATTCTATAAAAGATTTTTCTAGCAGTTGAGAGAACTAAGGCCTCACTATACCTATAGCAGCTTCAGCAGTCATCTTTGTTTCCTAGTGATTTTTCAGTTATGAATTAATACAAATCTTATTTCATGATTTTATAATTAGTTTTTTAATGTGGATTCAGTCAATAATAGAGAATTTGCCTAAAGCACTTCAGGTCCTACGGTGGTTCTTCAAAAATTATATGGGAATAAACAACGTGTTGAATTTTGACTGGGTGTAATTTAGTACCTTTTTAAAAAAAGCCTATTGTGGTATTCTGGTGAACGGGTCTGGAAGAACTCAAGGTGTTGCTTCTGTCATAAACCAAAGTTAACTGTATGTGGTTGGCATATAGGCCTAGCCCATTTTTAAAAACCTATGAGGAAGAGAGAATATTTAATTTTCCACAGAAAGTCTGGTCTGTTGCTTCCATAATCTTTATCACAGGACATCTTAATGTTTAGTGTTTATCTTGTCAGCTAAAATTAACCTGGATACTCCATATCCTGTTGTTGCATCTTTAACAGGTTGGGAAGGCATCTGCCTGTAGACATTCTACAGCATTTTTGTTGGGTGGCTTTAAGGGACAAGTGAAGATATGTCAACATTTAAATGAAAGTGAATACCACTTATCAGTTCAAATTTAAAACTGATTCCTTGGGCCTATATTTACACTATCAATGAGTTCCTTTCAACTTCTAGTTGAAAAGATTGCTGTACAGACTAAGGTCTACAATTAAAGCAGTATTTTCAGTGTCTTGGATCAAATCAAACTTAATTCCTATATCCTAATTGAATAAATAAGTAAATATTAGTGGTCACTCCACTGCAAAGATTGAAAACAAGACTTTTTTTAATACTAGTTAGCAGGGTAAGAAATGTTTGTACTTCAACCCTCTTTGGAAAGTCTGAGGCCAGATTTTGAAGCTTTTCTGGTGCTACAAGATGCAGATAGTTGCAGATTGAAATCCTTTACCAGAATCCTGAAGAATGTGACCATATGGGTATTCATCAGTTCACAGATTACCATTTATTGATGTAATAACACAGCTATAAATCCAAAATATTTTGGATATTTTGTGAATTGATCACCTGTTTTACTTTATTACTGTAATTAAATTCTCTTTTAGCTTTAGTTAATTGCATTTTGAATTAGTACACTTGGATGTAAAGCATAGTAACATTAATTAATATAAAGATGTCAGGAAATATTGTTCATTCCTTTTTTTATTGTTACATTTGCCTGAAAAGCCATGCCAGATACCATTTCCCTCTGTTTCCCTTTTTCTCCCCGATACTGGTAAGGCAAGTCTCACAACCTTACAAATCAGTAGTTTTTAATGATCAAGATTAAGTATTTCCTTAAAATAATCCATTAGTACAGCGTACACAGACTAAATGGACTTAAATCAAGCTTTTCTCTTGGTAAATCCATGATCTTTAATCAAGGTGAAACTTCACCAATTAGAATATCAGTCCATGCTACTTGAGGCCTGACACTCTTCAGCAATTCTTGCCTGGAATACAGTGCTAATGTATTGCAGTTTCTCTGAGTATGTTCATTGAAAATGGGAATCTGTTATTAATAACAGCATGCATGTACACTGTTAAACATTAGGAAGCTGTAAAGTCGTGAGCAACCTGAAGGGAAAGCTGAGGGCGTGTGGATGTAGCTAGGTGTATTTGCAAAATACTGGTGGTGTCACAAACAGTGGATGCTTTGCAGAGCACAGTTTAGGTTCCTTGCTTTTAGTAATTCTCTTTTGCTGTTGGAAACATTCTGGTCTCGAGGGTTTCATTTAATCTCATGGTAACTAATTGGCCATTCAGATTAAATAAATACCCAGCATTTAAAGTAGTTCTGTGCTCTTTTTCTAGTGACCCTCTTGTAAACTTTTTGCTGTCTAGGCATGACCTTAACAGTAAAACTTCATAACACATAGCTTTTCATATGGTTTATTTGTGCTCCTCTTTTTAACCATATTTTTATGTACATTGCATAATGTACTGCATATTGGATAAATTGAACTGCTTCGGAAGTATTTTTATTTAATAAAAAAAATCCCCAAAACCTATCAGCCAGAAATACGATCATCGGCTGGTGATGAGACTATGAGAATCACCAGCAAGGTTGTGCAGAAGTGAGATGAGATGGGGAGAAAGTTGGTTGTGTGGGACCACACCTGAGTTTAAATCTTCTTTTGTGCCTGATGAGTCATGGGGATCTTCAGAGATGACCAGTGGCTTTTTCATTTGCAAATACCACGAACAAAAACTTGAGACAAGTCTGACTGATGTCAGATAAGTCATTATTTGAATAAGAAAACTTAAACTTGCTATTGGTTGACTTTGCTTTTAGTAAGTACTCCTGAATAGTGTTGTGTTCCACACGCTTTTCTGTAAGAAACTGAGTCTGGGCAGTAGATTCCGTATATTCAGGTACATACAATTTAAAATGCAGAGGATCAAGGCTTTGTTTTGCATGTAACCTGACAGGTCTGGTTGGAGATCATGTGTTCAGTGTTCTTGGCAGGTAGTTTTTTCAGTAGTGACTAGCACTATGTAAATAACTCCTTACAAATTTAATAAACCTTTTTTTTCCCCCCTTCTCTTTCATAGGTAATGTACAAACGAATCCTGCAGCAAGCAGGTTTTATACAGTTTGCACAGCTTCAGTTCCTTGAAGCAAAAGAACTCTTCAGGTAATTGTGTGACAAGAAGTTTATTAATTTATCTTCTTTAAATAAGGTGTTAGCATTCTTGATTTTAAAAACTTTGTTGCTTAAATGTTTTTTTGATGCAGATGTGAGTTCACTGTGATAAAATGGTTTTGTTGGGGCTAAAAGCAGAGTAACATTGAAACAACTTTATAACTGAAGAGTTAATGCATCTTTTTTTTGGTATGCTAACATACAATAGCATTGAGGATGTAATCCTGTAGTCTGAGTGTTGTATTTTTTACTTTATGCCCATGAGGGTTAAGGCTTTATTATTGAGTTTGTGCTGTGATTTACAGCATGAATATTACCTGGTTCTTTTTAAATTATTTTTTACTAAGGAAAAAAAAAAAAAAACTTGACAAAGTTACAGTTTGAATATTACAATTTAAATGTTATTGACACAATTGCTCTGTTTTTTTTGAGGATACTGATAAATACTGAATTTGTTTTAACACTTGTTCTGCTAGGCCTTTTCCAGAAGACAGATTATTTGTTCTTGAAGTCTGTACTAACCTTCCCGATTTAGCTGTTTCAGCAGTCTCTTGTTTACAAATTGACCTTGGTACTCCACTTTCATCCAAAAAATGCTGCTCATTATCTTTATTTTACCTGATAATTTAATTTCTGCTAGCTGTGCCTCATTCTATGATGAGGAGCAGTCCGGAGTTAGTGTAATCCATGCTGACCACATAAAATAACTCTCCTGGTTGTCTGCTGAAATTCGCTTTAAATCAGTTTAGAGTCCATGGAATAGGATTAAGGTTAGACAATTTGCTGTATATTGTAAGAGTGTACAGTAATAGCAAAAAAAGTTGTCCTTGGGTTTATGAAAATGTATCAAGGAAAGTAAAGCTTTGTGGAATGTTACTATTGATGAGGGACTTCACCATTTTGCCTCTTGCTCACCAGGATAATGTGAGACCCTGGGCTTGAATGGGCAGTGTACTCTGTGTGAAGATTAGTGGATGACAGGAGCAGCCTGAACAGCATTTAGTAGCAGGTTGTTTTGGCCACAACCACTTTGTGTATCACCTTGTAATTTTTGGCGTTAGTGAGCAACTTGCAAATCTTCCTCCTCCCTGTAATCTTCCAAACACTAGACTGAATCGCTGCTGTGCTGTGTATCTGAAGTAGAAGTACAAGCTGTACATAGTTAGGAATCCTTTACACCATTCCCACAAAGTCCTTCATGTGGCTTTCCAATGGACTATTTTTTAGTGTGGCTAGCTTTGGTAAAATAGCTTGTTGAGGTTGTACTGCCTATGGTGCCTTCATTGTTTAGGCTTGGTCACCAGACTTCTGTAGCTCTGCAGCTGCCTTGGTTATGTCTGACACTTCATCTTTTTTTCTATCACTTTAATTGACCCTGCCTGGCAATAATGCCCTGTGGGGTATGATCTGGGGGCCCTGCCTTTCTGGCAGTGGCCCAAGGATCTTTTAAAAGCGATGAAAAGGGGGATATGTATCTTGCCGGGAGCTCCAGTCACCTTGTGAAAGGAGCTAAGACCAGTTATGCAGCCTCCATCCAACTAGCAGTCCATCAGACAAATGAGTTCTAATGAACAGGATTGTAGCAGCTCCTCTATATAAAGAAACATGCTTCACAAGAAAACGTGCTGTCCAGACATGAATTTTGGAGCTGAGTCAGCATCCCAGGGGTGTTCCCTTCCTGTAAAAGCTGCAACTTCAGAGCAGAACAACTGTTCAGGAATTGCTGAACTGCTGAGAGGTCAAAGCAAAGCAAAGTTTTCTGTGCTTTTCTTCTGGCCAGCTATACGTAAGCTATTCAGAGTATTTTGGTGACTCTGAAAAGCTTACCAGGTGCCCTGATTTTCAGCCCTGGTGAACACAACTAGTTCAAGTAATACCTGGTTATGCCCAAATATACACTCAGTCTTGTTCACTTTATATTTACTGATGCTCACAGGAAAAATGGAAAAGATAGTGGCAGTCTATGCAAACACTTCTTCCCATCCCTGTGTGTTACTCTGCAGGTATTTCAAACTAGTGTTAGTCAGAAATAGCTTAAGTCTTAAAATGCCAAAGGGAAACTTGGTACCTATCTGAGAAAAGATGGATTTAGCAGTGGAACAGTATGACAGCAGTACCTCCAAGAATTTGGTGTGATGTGGGCCTACTTCTGGCCAAATATGAAGTGAGGTTGTCTCCTCAGAGAATATCTTGGGGATATTATTATATCAGGGAAAATTATTACATTGGACTAAAGGTCTCATTTTCTTGCATCAATAATCCTTCTTGGGTAACCTTGTCAAGATACAGTTATATGTTATGCTTAACTTCATAGTTGCTGAATACTGAAACTTTTAAGAAGAATACTTCCCTGCTGAGTTCCTTTTGGTTATGCTGATACTTCTAAATACTGAAGAAGGTTGACAAAAAGGAAGTATTAGCTTTATTGAAATTCAAATAGCTCAACAAAGGGAGGAGAACTTTCTTTAGCTGGATCCATTAACCTTAAACTGAGCGAGCTGTCACAGTGGGGCTTCTTTCATCTGACAAATTCTGTTTTAAGCAATAACAGAATGGTGACCGTGTTATATAACTGTCATTTATGTATTATATTTTTGCTACTTCATGTTGCTATCATTGGAGGCTTGCATGCAGTTAGACCAAACAATGATGTTTAGCAGGCTTTTTGATGAATGTCTTGCTGAGATGTTGGTAGCTGTCACAGTGAAACCATTTCTCTCCAGTGTGTTTGGTAATGTCCTTTCACTGGTTAGGTGTTGCTTATAATCTAACATGACAGATACTGGAGCTTTTCTAAACTTTGTGGCTGTTTAACAAATCAAAATGTTAACTCTTTTGACGGTGTTGTCTCACCTGGGAAAGGCTGAAGAGAGACTTACAGCTAAAGTCTATCCTACACTGGAAAGGTTAAAAAATTGCTGCTACTTATACCTGGAGACACAAGAAATAGGACTCGGTGTGAGATTTGCATCTTAAATGTAATTAAAGAATATAAGCTTCTATTACAGTCAGTGGGATCTAGGCAAAACAGCTAAATCACGTAAGCTTCTTCGACATCTCTGATATCTGTAAATTTAAGGGTCTGAACTTAGGTCTAAGTTTCCTGAAAACTTCTAGATTCTGCCTGTTGCACTGTTTGTATATACAAAGCCCCAAAAGACCTAATGCAGAATTACTCAAAGGGAAGTTTCCTCTTAACATTGATAGCTTGACTTGTCTTACGAGCCTGTTTTCTACTTTGTGATAAGTTGCTAGCTATATTTTTCTAAACCTGAGATGCTGGAAGCTGAAGACTCAGATGTGTTTTTCATGAGAGACGAGGTCTTCCATAGCTGCTCCTAAACTGTTGCCTCCAAATGTGATGGCAAGAGCCACAAGACACCCACAGATCCCAGGACCCATAAGCCTCGAGATGAATGTTAACCATTCGTGTGGGTGGGGTCACTGTTTAGTACTCGATATTTTTTTGAAGTTTGTTGTGGATGATATTGTGCTTTTAAGGAGGCTGCTTGATTGCTGATTACCAGTGCTGTGGGGAGAGCTAAACTGTACAACGTGAGCTTGAGTCAGACTTGCTGAGAGAACCACTGGTGATTCACAGCCCAGGGTTCGGGTGAACCTGAGTTGGAAGATGGTTTCAATTCTCCTTTTGGAAACAGATGGTCATTAAGGCCAGAATCCATGAAGTTCAGAGATGAAGTAGCTGAGAGCTTCCTCATCTAGAAGAAGTTGAATAGTAAGATGAAAGGATGCAGAAGCTACTGTAGAAGTTGGAAAATGTTTTAAAACTTACTAAAAGTGGCACGTTAAGTATAGAATTTTTAATTTCTTCATCCATCTCTATGATTGTAGTCTCCATCTCAAGCTTAGGCTATCTCCAAATACTTGGCAGCATAGCCAGCAAGGGAACCAACGTTTATACTTGAATTTCTGTGGATTTACGAAGACTCCTTTCTTTCACGCTAATTTTGAATAGCCTGTTGATGTTTTTCAAGTCATGGGTTAGCTTTTGTTCTAAAACAAATCAGTGAAGAGCCTTGGAGGGGAAAAAATATTATCTTCTTTCTTTAAATTGGGATAATTTTCTAATGTATTACATCTCATATTTTATCTGATGGTCCTCAGGTCTTAAACTTTCATGAGTAGCTGGACTAGTTAAAGCTGCCATTAGATTACTGTAACAAGTTCATACTGAAAGCCCAAACTGTGAGCCATCAGGCCACGCCACTGACACAACTTCCTACTTCTTGGTTATTCTGCCTCTTAAAAAAAAAAAAAAAAAAAAATCTTCATCTTCTTGTGTTGTGGTTTGAGCCTGGTTGGCAGCCAACCACCACGCAGCCACTCTCTCCCCCTTCTCTTCCGGCAATAAGAAGGGACAGATGAGCCAGGCTTGGGGTTTGAGATAGGACCAGGAGGGGAAAATCACCCATTATGGTCATTGTCAAAAGGCAGACTTGTTAGGGGAAGAAAAAAAGAACATACATTTATTACAGACACTAACAGCACTTAACAGAGTAGGACAGTGAGAAGCATTGCCACATCTTGAGAACACCTTCCCCCCACCCCTCCCTTCTTCCTGGGCTCAGCTCTGCTCCCGATATCTCTACCTCCTCCCCCAGGGGCGCAGGGGCAGGGAATGGGGGGTGCAGTCAGTGCTGCTGATTCTGCCATCTGCAGTGGGGGGAGCTGCTGGAACTTGTTCCCCCTGCTCCAGCGTGGTCCCCCTCTCACAGGAGACAGTCCTCCACAAACTTTCTCTGACGTGAGTCCCTCCCACGGGCCGCAGCGTTCCCCACACTGCTCCGTCATGGGGCACCAACTTTCTCCAACTGGATTCCCTCCCACGGCTGCAGCCCTTCCCGAGCTGCTCCGGCGTGGGACACCCCCGCATGCTGCAATCCTCCCAGCGCTGAATTACAGCAGCGGGGCTGCCTTTTCCCATGAGACCCCGGCCTTCTTTGGGCACAGCACCTTGGTCAACCAGGCAGAAGCCACAGGCCATAAATCAATGTCTGCTCCACCGTAGATCTCCATGGGTGGTGGGGGGGGCCGCCCTGCCGTCTCCCCACAGGATACAGGGGGGTCTCTCTCCGGCACACCTCCCTCCTCCTTTCTTCCTCCGTTCCTCCACTGACCTTGGTGTTCACGCAGCTGCAGCAACTCCTCCTCACCAGTCCCACTGCTCCTCACCACATCCCTTCTTAAATACGTTATCGCAGAGGCGCAGCTGATGGGCTCAGTTTTGGTGCAGAGGTGGAGCTGACTTCGAGCTGGGGGAGCTTTGAGAAGCTTCTCACAGGGGCCCACCACTGTAGCCCCCTCCCCTGCTACCAGAAAAAAAAAAACACCACTCATTCAACCCAGGACAACTTGTGAGTTCCATCATAATGCAGATCTGAGAATTTCAAAACCAAATATCAAGTCTGAAAAGAGGGATTAGAAGGAAATTTCAGCTGCAGAAATCTGCAAAGTAGACATGAACACTTTACTCGTGGTTAGAGGCTGGCCTTTCTAGTGTAGAGGTGGTTTTTAGGCAGTAGGAGGTCTGTACAAATCAGAAAAGCTTTACTATTCAAACCTCTTCTCACAGGAAGGCTTCCCGCGTTCATATTTTAGTCTGTTGTGGTTCTCTATTGTTTGTGGTGTTGTTCCTATGCTTTGCAGTCACTAGGTTCTGGAACAGGATACTTGCTGCTTTTAAATTTGCTGTTACTGCTGTCTTCCAGAATTCCATTCTTCTGGTATAGATTTTTATAGCCAAAGGACAACAGTATCTGCTGCTTTAAAAGTTCTAAATAGGTGTTGCCATGGTGATGCTTTCTACTAGTTCATATTTCCTGGATGATTTTGGAACTGTGTCTCTGGCAAGAAGTGAACAACTGAGGGCATACCCCACTTTACAACAGTAAGGAAGAGATGAGTCTGCCTGTGAGGATCTTTCACACTTGATTGCAGAAATCTGCTGCTTTGTCTACTTCCATGTCTATGACTTGTTTCTTACTTGAATTCTTTCTAATCAGGGTTGTGAAAGGAAAGTCTTTTGGAAGTTGGTGTTCACTGGATAGATAAGAACTATTTTTTTAAACTTTTATTGTTAACAAAGTAGTAACTAACCAGGGTTTCTTTTGGAGACCTGTCAGTTCATTTTGATTTTTTTCAGCAACAGTATCTCCTGTGTTTCAGGAATGCTCATCGTTAAAGGTTAATTCTGAATAATGACTTTTGACAGTGAAATAAACCCCCTGATTTCTTGCTGTTCTTCTAAAGCAAGGCCTGGGAGGAGGAGTCATTCTAGCTGTGAAAATGGAGGAGTTGTTTGCCACGTGTGAAAAAACTTCTTCTTTTGTTCCTCTGTCACAACATACGTTCTTCAAATGTTGGAGGAATTTCTTCAATCTAGGCTGAGAGAAGAATGTTTTGTGTAGCGTATCTATGTTACAACTTGTATAGATGCCCTTCACATGAAAAGTGGAAAAGCCACTCCATAGTATCAGACATCGATGTAGACCCAAGACCTGTGCCTGTACAACAGACTACTACTTACTGGTTAGACAAGATGCATGATCAGTATCCATGGTTCATTTTCAGAACCTCCTTAAGAAGTGAGCCGAAGGAGGAATCTGGGGGATTTCAGGGTTGGGGAAAACATTTTTGTCATCCAAACACATGTTCTGAAAGCCATAGTTTACTACGGGAAGCTTCTGTTTTCTACAGAATTACACTTGCAGTCTTTGTGGCTTGCCTGAAAGAATTCACACTCTCCACATTTTTTTTTTTTTTTTTTTTGCCTCCACCAGAAGGTTAGCTACCGTAGTGTACTGATGGAGTCTAGGAGAGTCCTAGAAGCTGCATGGAGGCTACTCAGCCGATTTTTGTATATGCCACAGAACAGCTGTGGGATGTCAAAAGCAAAAGGCTGCCCAGTCTCTGAATTCTCAGAGCTTTTAATGTCTAGAGGAGGAAAAAGAAAGGTCTCCCGACCCTAAGCATATGCGAGCACACATTCCCAGTATGTTATTTTTTTGTGCCTATGTATACTTTTTCTTTCTTTTTGCTTCATCTAGTTTGACACTGTAATTGCAGAAGCGGCCAGCTTGATGTCCGGGAGCTGATCTCTCTCTACCCCTTCCTGTTGCCTACTTCCTCTTCATTTATACGGTCTCATCCCCCTCTGCATGAGTACGCGGACCTAAACCAGCTGACCCAAGGGGACCAGGAGAAGATGACAAAATGCAAAAGATTCCTCATGAGTTACTTGAATGAAGTCCGCAGCACTGAGGTTGCAAATGGCTACAAGGAGGACATTGACACGGCTTTACTCAAGCTATATGCAGAGGCAAATCATGAAAGCCTGCTGGATCTGCTAGTTTCGGAGAACTTTTGTCTTTTAACAGATAGTGCTGCCTGGTTGGAAAAACACAAAAAGTGAGTGGATTTTTTGAATATTGCACCTTTGAGACCGGAGGGAAATTTGTCTTGAGTGCTACTGGCTTCTAGAGCGTGTTCAAATCCTTGTAGTTTCTGTGCTTTCAGGTCAAAAGACAACTTGGTCTCACTTGTCAGCATTTAAAAAGGTGTTAATTGACAGTCTGAGGTAAAGAAAATGCATTCTGTCTTATGCTGGTAAATACAGAGTTCTCCCTGAAAGTTTCTGTGTCCAACACAAAAATAAAGGATTGGTACAAATTTGAGGGGGGGGAAGTTATTTGTTTGCCCTTGTGACAGTTGAATGACACAGTTAGCAGTGCTTGGACAGAATGAAAAGATGCCTCAAAGCATCTACTACCTTAGGTAGAAGCTGTTAACCAACTAGTGGCTTTAAAATTGTAGTTGCTTATACAGGGAAAGAGATCTTAATTCTGAATTGTGTCTTTTCTGTGCTCCCACTGATCCACTGAAAGGAGGTTGCTTAAGATGACTGCAAATGACTTCAAATTGGAAATGCCAGCAGGTGGAGAATTAGCTGTTTGTCATTAAGCAGGAAACACTAGATAGATAGTAAATGTGTAAAATACAAACTCCAGTCGTAGGTAGTGTTTCTGTCTTGAATTGAATTTCTTTAAACTGTGTGGTGGCAGTACTAGCAACTACAGTGGTGAGAAGTCTGTAATTGTGTTTTCGTTTATTTCAGATGTTTTGTTAAATCCTCTTGGTAAATATGGTTTGCATGGCAAACTATCGCAAATGTGAATGGTAAAATATGGTTCCATAAGAACAGCTGATACATAACTTTAGCTTTATTTTTATTACAGTACACAAAAAACCCCTCTGCAGTGGCACTGTACAGAGCTCTTCCTTGCCTGACTTGATTTCATGCTGTAGTAAAGAAAAAAAATGTTTCTCATACTAAAACAGAGTTTTGAGTAAAAGCATCATAGAGGTTTGATTTAATGACACCCAATTAACTATTGGAGGACTATTTATTATTTGGGGCTATGTGTTAAGTCTGTGTATAAAATTTGAAGAACTGCATGGGAATCATCTCTAATGTGACACATACTTTCTTTAACTTGGCACTAGTAACTAGAAACTGCCTTAGAGACAGGAGAGAGACACATTTCTAAGACACAACTTCTCTCCTTTGGTTCTGAAAAGATGCCTGCAGACACTTGTTCAGGTAGAGACATAGCCATGTACATGTCACCTAAAAATCCCACTGTAAGCAATTATTTCTTATTCTGTGCTAATCTAACAATAGTTAAATTGGTAGGTATGATCCTAGTGATTTTAATATTATTTTCTCTTTCTGTACAGGTATTTTGCCCTTGGTCTCTTGTATCACTACAATGGTCAGGATGCTGCAGCTCTTCAGGTTAGAATAAAGCTTTTAGTGATATCCGTAAACCATTCTAAAAATACCAGTTTACCTCCGAGATAAAAATCTGAGGTGCTAATTTATCTAGTAGTAATGTGTATGTATGAGAAACTTATGCTAAGACTTTCTTGAATAAATTAATATGCTAGATGTGAAAAACCTGAAGATGACAGCTATTTAGATGCATGTATGCTCTTTTTTAAGCAAAACTCTGCATAGCAGAACATACATTTGTACTCTTAAAAGATGCACAGAGGCACTAAAATAACCAAGAGATCACTTAAAAAGGGGGTTGAGGGACTTCAGGGATATATCACGTGCCAATTAGTCTGTATACACACAGCAAAGTAGTACTGTAATCTCATGGCAGACTGTGACAGCAACTGGGAGTTTATTTCCTTACCTGATGATGGACAGTGAATGCACTCTGCAAGACCTGTGGGTTTCAGCTGGGTTAGTAATCCCTTTGGGCCCCCTGCTTCTGATGTCACTAAGACCAGCAGCGGTCTGTAGACCAGAGACTAAATAGTTTTGTTATTCCTGTCTGCAAAACTTCATCTAGAAAAATTAAAATGTTTTTTAATCAATAAATAACATGTATGTCTCAGACCATATCCTTAAGTAGTTTGCCTTACTATGTGGCTTTTTAAGTATGTTAATCACAGTAACACTGTCAATGCATTTAAGTCAGTTATGTAAATAGTAATTTTCTGAGCAGAAAAACAGTAAGGACAACAAAAACAGTATGTACTTTTTGTCATGTGAGAGGTATTTTTCTTTTTTTCAAGGAACAACGTTTATTGCTAAACTGGTCTGCTAGATAACGGCACCTTTTAATTCCAATTACAATTTATATAAAAATAATCTCACATGGTACTTGAAGTTCTTCAGCCAAAATGAAAGAAGAACAGAAAATCAGGTTTTCTTCTAAATTGTTTAGATCATTTGCATTTAATCTTGCACACATAGAACACATGAAAATTATACCATGCATTGGAGAAAAGGACTTTCATGAAAAGCTTTCTTTGCGATTAGTGTACCTCCTCCTGAAGTATTCGGCCAGTCACTCTCAGAATGTGAGAGTCCACATGATGCAGAGTCTGAGTTAGTTGAAGATGGTAGGTGCAAGAAAAGCCTATGATAGAGAGGAGGCATGAATTTAGTGACCAGTGAGGTCCCTTGCAATTGGTGTTTCAAGGAGCTCTTCCTAATTCCACGAGTACCAGTGGCTAATACTAAGTGTTGTAGTAATTCACATACATTTTGAGTTGGAAGAGTTAGTACATGTTTTAAGCACTTTAATCTGTGTGTGTTTTTTGTTGCAGTTATGGGTAAAGATAGTTGATGGAGACATTCAAGATTCTACACGTTCAGATCTCTATGAATATATAGTTGACTTCCTTACCTTCTGCTCAGACCACGATCTAGTGTGGAAATACTCTGAATGGGTTTTACAAAAAAATGAAGAGGTTTGTAATTAGTGTACCTTTCTCAGAACATCATAAATATAACTTCCCTGCAGTGGTGTTTGAATGTTCATTAACACTGTTCCATCTTGATAGCTAAATGGAGCATTTTTGCAGGATGTTTTAATGCCAGTTAAATAGTGATCAACAGAAGAAAAATTACAGGTTTCTCAATTCTTCTATCTGTTAACAAGTACTAGTGATACTTGCCTAATAATTAGCAAGATCATTTTCAGATATTTAAAAAAAAATAATAAAATCACCTAACAAGCTAACTCTTGCTGCTATTTCTTTTCTAACAGGATTTCAGGGTTGGTTGATATCTGTGTACACTAGGATGTAGAATAAATAGCCTTCATTCAAGACAAAACTTCACTGGTACAAGAGTTAACTTAATTCTCCCAAATGAGAAAAAAAAATTTTTTTTGTAACATCCATTAGTGTGGTGTGCTGTTAAAAGGGATGCTTAATGCTGTATCAGGCACTGTGCTGTTGGAACTTGTCATTGCCTAATTTGTATTAATTTAAAGGTCAGTTATTACGTGCAATGACAGATTTCTAAACTTCTGTTTTGGTCATTTATAGAAGTCTCCTGTGTATGTCATCATGTGTGATAAGGCTGTAAACATTCTGGTCTCTAACATGCTTTCTTGCTGCAAAGGCTGAAGTCTCTTGTTCTGCTGTTGTGTAGATCTGCTCAATACTTTTTGTGGCTGTTGGAGGCTGTGCCCAACACAAGGTTTATAGGCTGGACAATGTATAGGCTATGAATTGAGGTAATGGAGATAGGGGTGAGTGAGATCATGATAAGCATCAAGTAATGTCATCTTGGTGGTGTTGAGCAGGGTTTTGTGTTGTTTATCTTCCTGAATAAGGTACTAACTAATCTGATAGTGCTATTAAATAAGTAGTTAAAAGGTAATAAAATGGTTACCTCAAATTCCTAATTGCAGTTCCTAAATGCAGTCATCTCTTTCTAGGTTGGCATACAGATTTTCACTAAAAGGCCTTTGGAAGAACAGGAGAAAAGCAACTTTAATGCAGATGATATCATCGGTTGCCTTAACAAATACCCTAAAGCACGTGTTAAATATCTAGAACATCTAGTATTGGAAAGAAAAATAGAGGTGAGTCTTACAAGAATACTAAAGATAAGCATAGGATTCAGAATGCAGACTATGATGAACAACTCTGAAAAAAGCCAAAATCTAGAAGAAATAAACATAATTTGAAGGCTTTCAGATGTATTCAGTAGGGAAGGAGTTGTTTTACAATTAAAGTAGAAGGTGAGGAGCGGATATCTGCGTTATTTTTACCTTGTCACCTCTCTCGATAGCAAGACAGTTGCTTCCCTCCCCTCAGAGGTGGGGGGTTTTTTACAGCTGATTATTGCATACTTTTCTGTTTCACCAATGAGGCTCAAACCTCCATCTGGTAAGATCATAGAAAAATGTTTGAGCAACTGCTAATCCTGCTGCACTGTGGCAGCAATATACTGAAATTGCCAGTTCAGTGTTTTACAAGTAGTTATGTTTATTTAGACCTTCTGGAGAGATCTGAGCAATTAATGATGCAGCTTAAGCCATGCACCTCTCACTGTAGAATTCCAAAGCACTATAGATGTTGAATGTCCAAAAGATGTGTTCACAAGTCATAAGTGACAGTGTATTCTACCTTTGGGTTTTTAAGCATGATACAGAAGCAGCCAAACGTTGTGGTACTTGGATATGAGACATATTAAGCACAAAAGTTACTTTAACTTGCAAATAAGCAGGGCAATGAACACTGAAAGAACTCGGCAGAACTGATGACCACTAATTTACAATCTTCAAATACACATGCTAGATCAGTGGATTCCCTCTGTCACTATTGTGAATATGTGAAGGTGTGTGACACCATGACAGATGAATTTACTAGTTTCTGATGTCATGAATATTTCCGAACAAACTTTTTGAGTTAAATATAGTGCCTTGCAGAATATTTGTAACAAAAATAAGTTATCATTAAATTTACCTGCTTGTAAAGGCAGGGTTGTAAATTGATTTGGTCTTTAGCAAGTACTAGGTTATTGTGAATGCTTTAGTGACAATTTTTCAAACAGTCAGATCATCAGCTTGCTTTGATGAATATTGTCTATACAAATATTGTGAGGTAACACAAAAAGCACTCTTGTCTTCAGAGTGCATGTCTACCTCTGGTGGCCGCCTCAAATTTTACTGCAGAAATAGAAAAGGTCAAAGAGCATGCCTGGATACGAGGAAGGATGAATTAGATCAAGGTTACTCATTTTACAAGGGAAGCAAAAGGAGAAGACACAACGGAGGTCATACATGTACTCAAAGGAGAGAGATCTGCTTTACTGCATTGACTTCCATTAGGTGAACTATTGAAAGGAAATAATTTTTGCATAAGTAGAGTTATTCATAGTGCTTGTTTATTCAACGTAAAAGATGGGTTTAGGAATAAGTTGTTTCATATCTACATTTTGGAAATACCTGTATTCATGAAATAGAGAATCCCATACTATAGGTATAGTGTATTTCGTGAAGCTGGTCTAAATAAGTCCTTTATCTGCATGAACAAAAGGCTTTCTGATTATTTTGAATTAAATAAATGAATTAAAACATGTTTCTGTGTAATCACATAAATATTCATCACTGTTACTGATGGCAAGAAGGGGTTGTCTTCGTAAACTGAGCTAACATTGTCCTTTTCATCTGTAGAAAGAAAAGTACCATACTCATCTAGCTGTCTTGTACTTGGAGGCAATACTTAAGCTAAAATCTGTGACCGTGGATAATTGTACAGAAACAACTGAACTGCTGTTTAAACTACGTGGTCTTCTTCAGAAATCTGATCTTTATAGAATTCACTTTATTTTGGGTAAGATGCATGTTTTCTGTTATAAATGCTGTATGTCAGTTCCACCAGGAAACAAAATAAAGTCCTCATAAGGATAGAAAACTAAAAGATCTGAGGTTTCTAGGTGTATTTGGTTGATAGGCTTACCGTCTGTATTTCTAACAGACCCAAGTTAATTTAGAAAGCTTACTTGTTAGTGCTGTCTTTGATCTCCCATAGCTCATCAGGTACAGTGCTATGCTTGCTCCTGCACCAAAGATGGAATACCATAACTAGATAGAAAAAAATCTCTTCACACAATTATCTTCTTAATTTATAGTCAGTTTCTTTTTACTGATGGGCATGTGACTTGTGACAATCTTTTGCAAATGGAAGACTTAGAAGTTCACTTGTTAAGCAGTCTGTTTCTCAGTGAACTGAAGTGAAGCTTTGAGGAATCTGATTACCAAGGACGACTTTGCTGTCCATAATCTACTCTCACCCCAAAAGCTGGGGTTCATGCTAAACAAAAACATGAGCATCTTTCTGAGTGAAAAGTGTAACATACTTCCTACTGTTGGTATAAGGCAGGCAACAGTTGAGCTAAATTTTTTTCCTTGGCCAGTGCTTATAATGGCTTATTTTTAATGTTTCCTCCACTGGATGAGAGGGAAATGACGTGTTATTGTACTGAAAGGTGTGAAAAGTTTTCTTCTGAAAATCAGTGGGACAGTCCGGTGGATGTGGAAATAAAAATAGCTGAGTAGAAACTAAAATAATTTACCAACATTTAATGTCCCTTTGAATTTCCAGTCAGCATAACATTATATGACAGATAATATACACTATAACACAGTTATTGAAACTCTTGTTCTTTTTCATCTTTTAAATTTTAACCAAATTTTTAAGGGCAAGAGTTAAAAGATGGGTTATTCTGTTGAAATCCATGTACTCCAAAGCACAGGATTTCTTACGTGACAATTCTTATCTTATGTGAAGGTGAGATCAGTGCATGCTAGCGTGCTCGTCCTTGATAACCAAAATATTTTGGGGGGAAAAACATTGTATTTCCATAACTTTTACAGAGGCCCATGCCAGGTCTTTATCACCTTTACAGTAAGTAGAGGATTTTCTACTTTATTTTGAAATGCCAGATGAACTTGCCATTCTCTCTGCTTGTCACTGACACTTTAACTGTAAATTGTCAGACTGGATTGTGGAGTTTGTAGTATCCTTTAGGAAAAGGGAAGTACTATTTGATCTTTATTTGCCTTTTATGGACCTTATTCTGTAATTTTCTATAATACTGGGAGCAGCAGAGGTGAAAAATATTGCAGCTTCATCTAACCGTTTGTCATACACGGTAGCAGGGTGCACAGAAATGCACAAGGCTGACACGCTAGGATTTAAAAGAGGTCAGTGACAGTGGTTATATCACTTGTTATTCAGTAACTTCTTTTCCCTGTGTTTTGTGGTGCTCTTTTGTTTGAGATGTGTTTCAATACATCTAGGTTTTCTTGTACTTGGAAACATCTGTTTTCCTTTAGCTGCCCGCACCCCTGCAAAAACAGCAGGAGTTTTCATGGGCTTGTTTACACTGACTCTGGGACGGGGGGTAGTCATCTTCTCCACTGAGCAAATACTGCCTTGTTTCTCATTTAACAGACAAAATCCAGGGCACAGACCTTCATATGGAAAGTGCAATTTTATATGGAAAACTAGAAGAACATGAGAAGGCTTTGCATATCCTTGTCCACGAGTTAAAGGACTTCCATGCTGCTGAAGAATACTGTATGTGGAACTCGGAGAACAGAGATGTGCAGTACAGGCGGAGGCTTTTCCATCTGCTGCTGTCGGTGTATCTAAATCCAGGCACTTCGGACTGTGCGCTGGTCACGGCGGCTGTGGATCTCTTGAACAACCACGCTGCTGAATTTGATGCAGCTCTAGTTCTGCAGGTGGTGCCTGACAGCTGGTCAGTGCAGCTCCTCTCCCCGTTTCTGGCTGGAGCAGTGAGGCAAAGCATTCATACGAAAAGAATGACTCAGGCTGCACTTGGGTTAGCACAAGCTGAAAACTTAATCTACAAACACGAGAAGGTAGGTTGGTTTTGGTTTTTTAAACAGAAGCACTTTGAAGCTTTACAGTGAGGTTCTTTAACATATAATAATCAGAAGTAGTTTGAAGAATTAGGACAAAGTTGTCTTCATGTCTTTGGCAGTTTTACTTGCTGCACCTCTTAGTTTTTTGCCGTGACTACTCAGTTCAAACTTAATTTTACGCTTTCTCTGTAAAACAAAAGGAAAGATGGGGGCCTTGAAATAGGAACTACTTTGGTGAACTTCTGGACTGAATGAAAGTGAATCTGGGATTTACAGATTAGCAAAGTTCTTGCAGAAACTTTAACAAATGTGAATTAGCTTTTTTTTCACTAGGATTGAGACCTGTTAGAATTTGCAAAAAAAGTTCACCCAGCACTTAGTATTAATTGAAGCTTGTTAGTAGCTTTTGTTAGTAGTAAATTCACTTGTGCAACTTTCTTCTATTTCTAGCTAGAGCTGTGTTGCTTAAAGCTCCCAGTAGATTCTTAAATCAATTTAGTTCTAATGACAGTATATCTAGCAGCATCTGTCTGGAATAAAAATGCATCAGTACTCAGTTTGCTTGGAGTCGTCCTGTGACCTTGTTTAGGAAGCTGCATTGGGTTTTCCATTGCATTCAATGTGTCAGTGCTTTTCTTTTATTAAACAAGAGGAAAAAAAAGAAAGAAAAAAATTTCAGTATTTAAGAGGAAGGATGAAAATGAACGAGTATGAATCTGGAAACTGAATTCAAGGTAAATAGTTCAAGCTGTCTTTTGCTACTACCTCTGTCATTGACCGGGTTTGTCCATTTGGCACAATTGAAATTATATGCCTCATAATTTTCCTTCCATTCTTGCTAGACTCGTGTTTGATTTTTTTTCTTTTTTTCCCCCCCTCTCTTTAGGTTAAACAAAAAGGAACCCCAATTCTTCTTTCGGACAAAAAGGTCTGCCAGGTGTGCCAAAATCCTTTCTGTGAGCCTGTATTTGTAAGATACCCAAATGGGGGTATGGTCCACACACACTGTGCTGCAAACAGACATCTGAATTCAAACATGACTCATCACTCCTCCAGCTCCAACAATCAGACTTGAAATATGTTCCAGGCCACAGATTCTCATGACTTGTACCCCATTGAAAGTGGGCTGGAAAACCAAACAAAGTGCAGCTACTTTAGGTGTAAATCAAGATGAACCGCTAGTCTTTGGGTTAATGGGAAGACTTCCAGTAAATATGAAATATCGCCACTTATCTTTTTGATTTCTAATGAATGTAGATAGAAAATTCACTACCAGAAATGGAGAGGTGCAGTTATAGGCTCTTCTGTATATAGTAATAAACAGTTAAAGGAAATGAGCCTTTTCTTCAGAGTAAGGATGAATGTTATGGAGACAAGGCAAACAGGTATTTTAAGAAATGTCACTTTGCACTGATTGTGGTGTTGATAAATTTGTAGAGGTGGAGATGGCATCTACTGGAGTTGGAATTCTTGGAACACTGCGTGACAAGACTGGCACCATGCAGCTTACTATCAAGACAAAAATATGTGTTGGTTATAATGTTTGCTGCAGCATGTCCTCTTTTGGGCCAGATTCTCTTCCCCAGGATCACATTATGAACTTTGTTTTTGCTCTACAAACTGTTGGCTTTTGATGCACTTTTTAGTACTTCCCCCACCTCCCCAGCCCCTCTCCTCTGCTGTATAGCATTTAAATGTAAGCACTGGTCCATTGGGTTTCTACTCTTACAGTTACTGTAATAAACTGAGTGGGAACTAATAGCCTCAGTCGCATGGCTGTGCTTAGAAGATTAAAAAAAAAAAGTCAGATTGTCTGGTCAGACTGTAGTCACTTTTATATGGGGGAAGAGACCTTAACTTTTATTTATTAATATGCAAATATACTGTACATACAGTTGAATAAATTGATCTTATATCATTCTAGAGTTTCTTTGGAGGATAAAGATATAGCTGATACATAAGTGTACAGGTTATGTGCTAAATGTTTGCTATAACATAACTTAGGCAGATTGGGACTCCACAAGAATAGGTTTTAGTACTTGTAGATGACTTTGTGCAATCAAAATCACGAAAAGAAGATATAATTGGGAAGAGATCTACAGAGGTGCACTACAGGGGGGTACTGGATGTGTTTTATTCTACAAAGCATTCTGTAAACTAAGTTTTTTCAAGTCACAACAAAAACGCTTTATTTAATTGCCCTGATCGGTATTCACTTTGCTATTTAACCATTTTAAAGCAACCGGTTTAAAAGAAGCAGCTTTCCCCAAGAAAGGTTCAAAAACGATGACTTTAAATAAACGTATTACCGAGTCAAAGCAATTCTTTTAATTCTGTAACGCTCTAATAAGTACCAAGCTCTCCTGACCAGCATGCAGTTGAGTTAGCAGGGCTGCTGACCGTTTCAGCGTTCCACACCAGGATGCAGCCTTTCAGCAGTATGGGATATCTGCGTGGTATCTTCTAGATGCGGTCTCATCAGGGGCCTCCTGGTACGGAGAGGTTGGCTAAGGAAGCAGCCTTGTAAGCGTAGTGCTGCCTCCAAGGAGGGGCAGCCAGACTATGTTTAGGGGGAAAGAAAAGAAATCTCCATTCCTTTGTTTTTGAACAACAAGACCTTCAGATCTTTTTCTTTCACGAGTTTGACATTAGAAAAGTATAGCTGTTTTGCTGGGCTTTAAAAATTCGATAAAATGCAAGTAAGGAATTCTGTAGCTCGTCCCGCTAAGACATTGTAAGCCACGTTTAGTGAAAGGCACCTTCAAAACCAGACAGATGTGGGCGTCTCTGACTTAATTCTGGCATGAATGATTCTCCCATGGCACTGCTATGAGCAGTCTCTTGTGTGTTTTGTATTCACGATTTTCAAACATTGTGCATACAACTGGCAATGATGACATGGACAGATCTGTAGTCCCCTGTCCTCAAAACACTTACTGATAGAGAGGAGGTGATTTTACAAAGATCTGATAAGTCTTTTGTGTACAGTCGCATGCAGTTCATAAGAAATACTTTCTTTTCCTGCAAGCATCCTCGGTATGCTCTGTTCCTGTCTAATAAGGAGGTACTAAAACAAAAACCACACTCCATGATTAAGATTAATTCTAGCCACTAGGTAGTGATGATCTTAGTCTTGTCAACTAGAATTGCAATGGAATAGAGGACATATCATTCCAGACCACAAGAAAGTTCTTAATTGTTACTGAATGAAGAGGTATGTCTGTGAAAGATTAAACAATTCCTTATTAAGATTTTTTTCAGATTTGTACTTTGGCTAAAATGCAGCAGTAACAATAATTGTACATACTGAACAAATACAGAAATCAGAGTAATGTAAGGTAGCATATTTGCAATCATAGATGCCTAAAACAGTGATTGATTAAGTTGGAGGAGCTAACTCTTAGCCCCCCTGAAATGTGGACTGGAAAAATAATGACATTTGATTTATACATTGTTACCTTTTTCTTTGTTAAATTTTGTACTAGAACTCATTTCGATGAATTAATATGGAAGTCCTATGGTAGCAAAAAGAAAAAAAAAAAAAAAAAAAAAACAGAAAAAAACCCGACATGAGGCTGAAGTAGAGCAGTTGGTCAGCAGGGAGGTGGCAGGTGGAGGATGCTCTTCCAGTGTGCGTACAGCGCTCGAGCAATTGGCAGAATACTCGACCAGAGGAGATGACAGCCTCCGTCTGCGTGGCGCGTGGTATTCTGTACTTCATCACCAGGATATTTATGGCAGGCCTGCATTCGGATTCCCTTAGGTAGGACAACTGCAACACCCTTTGGGTAAGTGAACCTCCCGTTGGAGAACCCGAATTCATTCCTCCTTTTATTTTGGCACTGTCACTTTGCTCATGCCTGTTCTGTGTACCTGAAGTGCTGGGGCAGCGTTGCCGCTGTGGTGAGTTCTGGTATGGCTGCAGCAGCAAGCAGGGGATGAATGGTGAACTGGTTATTAGTCCCTGACTGGATACCTGAAGCAGGAGAGGCAGGAAAGAGGAACATTTCTTCGACCATCCTTCTGGTTGGGTAATCAAATGGGTTCTGGGAGTTTAAGCTTGATGCAATCTTTTTCTTTCCAGTTAGGGAATGTGGTGGCTTAAACCTGCCCTTGGAGAGAGGAGATTCTGTCAGAACATTTCTTCTTAATTTAGCTCTTGCTAAATTACTTGTGTTTGTAATTCATCTCTCTCACTTTTTTTTTTTTTTTCCTTAGGAAAAATTTGTGCGTATATGTGTGAAAACCAAAACAGTAGTGCAGATTTTTTTTTTAATGTGTCTGTGATTCAGGCCATAATAAATCAGATTGGTCTCTCACACAGGTGCTTTTGCAGACACTGAGGCACATTTGATTAACACGTAGGTTCTAATTACAGAAATACTGCAGCTCTGACTATTTTGGCCATACCCCGTTACAGCCGTTGATACATACAGAAAGCACTGGTTAAACCCTTTTCTACTCTTCATATCTCCATGCTTCCTCTCGTAAAAGTTACCTATGACATGTATATGTCATCATACGCAGTTATTTCCCCTCTCTAAGTCAAAAAGAGAGGGAAAATACTAATGAGGAAAAATTGCCCAGAATCTGGCAGTCTGCTTGAAACAAGATTCATGGCTGTACGTTTATGGGAGAGAATTCAGTCAGATCTTCATTTCTGTGATTTAAAGGGATAAGCTGCCACAGCGATAATATCACAGGAATACTGATCTTAAAGTCTGGAGAAAATAAGCAATTGCTTTTTGTTACACAGAGCGCACCACAGGTACCTGGGGGCTGACTTCTGTGGTGGCTCCGGCGTGCACGGGAGTCGGGATTACAATGAGAACTCCTCTCTGCTCCCCACTCTCCAAAAGGTTTCCAACCCTTGTTAGCTGGTTAATGTCACGCTTCTAGCACTTCAGTGACGTGGGTATAAATCCTGGGAGTTCCGTGTGGACTCCTGTGCGCATCTGTCTTTGTTCATTAAAATGTCACTTTCTTAGTCAACCACGTGAAACCCTAATAATGTCAGCTGTGGAAAGGTGGTGGTAGGGATGGAGTATGCGTGTGTTTTCTGAGCCCTTTATTGCATGTTTGAACACACATGCATTGTCCTGACTCTGCCGAATCTTTATAACAATGTCTGTTCTTTGCAGGACTCCTATTCGGAATGGCATTAAAAAATATTTTATACAGTTGTATCAAGAAGTAACTTTTTTATTACTCTTCCCAATTCGCTGCAGTCTCTACTCAGCATAGCTCTAAGTGTTTTATTAACATCCTGCTGTTTATAACAGGCAGCAACTAATACATTTTCATTGTGAACTCTCCTCCTATTGCCTATATTTACTAATTAATTTTTCTCTTGCTGTACAGCACTTTGGGGCTTATGCCTTGTGAACACTGATAATTAAATGTGCTGCTACTTTTAAAGGGAAAAGAAGGGAAGAGGTTAATGATGTTCTGTAATGTCTAATTGATTACAAAACTGAAGTTCCCCTGCAGTAAATTTTTTTTCAGATGGAAATCTGTACTGTTAATGCTTTCTGACTTAATGGTTATGTTGGTGAACATATACAGCAGTACGTGGAATGTACAAATGTATAAATATGTTGATTTTTAATAAAAAAATCTTTTAATTATGTTTCTGTCATTCGTTCTTAGGTACATAAATTCTCAGATGTGAGGGGCCAAGTGCAGGAGAAAGGTTCCTCAGTGGTAGAGAATTCATCTGGGTACTGACAGTGGTGGTCAGATGAAATGGCTGAATTAAGCCAGTGCAGGGTGTTAATGGAGATAAACAGGCGTTCTTAAAAACTAGTGAATTTTACTTTTGGGAAGAAGTTTTACTTTGTTTTTACCTCTTCCTTGACTGAATCTGCATTTTTACAGATTGAGGTGAAAGCGGCTACTGCCATCACAAATGTGGAAGAGCTTGATCTGCCTCGGCGTAGCCAAAGCACTCGCGTGATTCGAGTCCACGGTTAGAGGGGGGGGTCTGCTCAGTGGCAGGGGTGTGGACAGCCAGGGGCGATACCGACAGAAGTACTGGTGTTTTTTGAGGGGAAGACCTCGAAACAGGGCCGGTGTCGATCTGAGTCCATAGACTGGTGGCAGAAAGTAGTAAAAGTGGATACTGTTTGCAGAGGCACCTCTGGGACCAGGTAGAAAGCGAGCTTAAGCCGCAGCTTCTCTATTGGGGCAGTCTTTACTAAAAACGACAATTTAGGGAAAGCAAAGGTGCAAGTACTACCAAGGTTGGATTGTATTTTTATTACTAGAGACCCCAAATTCAACCTTAGGAGGCCAAAAGCGCAATTCCTGCCAGAGCCTAGCCCATGTTCCCAGGAAAAGGGGATGACTCTATCCCTGCAGTGTGGCGATGAGGCTGGCGCTTACATTCTGTGCGGCAGGGAGGCGGTGTTCCTCACCTTCCTCCTCACCGCTCAGGAGCCACGGCCCTGGCTCTCAGAGAGCTTCAGGGCCAAAGGGCCGGGTGTCCCCCTCGTCCCACTGCCAGCAGACGGGGCTGGGGCCACCACGGTGGCACCACAGGACCTGCTGGTGAGGCAACCCTGGGAAAGGGGGGGGGTAAGGGCTGGGGAGGAGGCTGCGGTGAGCCAAGGAAACCTCCGGTGGATCTCCAAGGGGAGGCAGCGAGGGCTGCATGCAAAGGACAAGTGCAGGAAAGGGAGAAATCTGTGTTTAGGACATGCGGGTATGAGCTAATTCAGCTGGTCTCCAGCCCCACTCCGCACGTGCCTGGGTCTCTTCTCCCTGCACCTTTCCCTGCCCACGACACGTGAAATCCCGTACGTGACCAAAACGTACTGAGGACGCTGGTTAGAAGGTGCAGGCAGGTGGTGGCCTGTGGGTAATGAGAAATGGGAAACCTGAACAAAATGCCTCTCAGCTCCTTTAAAACCATCACTGGAAGGAATTTAAGAGAAAGGGGCAGTAACCAGGCAGGGGAGAAGTGGTCACTGCTAGGTTTATGTATTGGCACGGGCCTCTGCATCCTGAGCAGCTGGTATGTCCTTTGCCTGCTACATCCCTCTCTCTCTCACATGCAGTTTGTGGATGTGATGGTTGTCCTGGCAAACTATAAAATAGGCAGACCTCGCTGAAACCATGGCTTCACTTTGGTACAAATGAATGTCACCCCAATGTTTCACTGCTCTTGTACCAAAAATTCCTTGGCTCTTTGCATAGGCTGTTTAATCATCAGGACTCGCTGCTTGTTTCAAATTAGTGCAAACATTATTCTTCCCTGTCTTTTTGTTGCCGCATTTTTTCGCTGAAAATAAGTTTATATGAAGAAATATTATCATAAAGGCTCCTGAGCAGTAGCTACGTGCCATTCAGTCAACTTGGCTTTGGTTGCAAGTATGGCTTTGAGAGTATAGCACTGTTGTGGGTTTATTTGATGTCTCAAAGCCAAATAGCAAATGGGAACGTGCTCATTCTCTGGTTTGGTTTGTGCATCAAAAACTCATGGGCTGGTCAGAAAGAAAGATACGGAAGCAAAATTTGTGCGGTTTGCCTAGTTCTTCCCTGATTTTCAGCTACATCTCCGAAACCACCGCTTAGACAGTTGAGTGGCTCTTAGTGGAAGAATAGGTTGTATTATTTTTCCTCATTCAGGTACTCTGGGGAGAATCACGGATGTCTTATGCCAGAACTCAGCTCAAACCTCTTTGAAGTGTCTTGGTGCTCAGGCAGGAGAGGACAGGGTAAGCCCTCGGCCGGGCTCCGTAGCTGTTAGCAACGCTGTAGGCATCTACTGGCTGCCAAAGGCAGGTTGTGCACTAAGGAGCTGGGGAGCCAGCGAGGTGAAAACCCAACAGAGTGGGAACTAAAGTCTACATTCACGTGGTAAGGTTTCTACAGCCCCGTCAGCTCAGGTTTGTTCCTGTGGCCGAAGCAAAGGCCGTGGGTGTGTTGGTGGGTGCTCAGGACTCTCTTGCAGAGAGGTGTTTTGGTTGCAAAGGTTGGAGCACAGCATGATGCAGAAAGGAATGAAAAATGTTACCACAACAAGCATCACTTCATTAGCTCAGCCAGCAGGAAATGCACCCTGGAGAGCCCTGGTTTGCATTTCCTCGACCATCCATCCAGTCAGTGGAGGAAAGGTAATGCAAAAAGTATCAGGAAAAAAAGCAGTTGTGGCTTTGGCATGGTGGGATTTCAGCTACTTTTGCCTCCAGACAGTGGTTAGAAAATGGTCTACACTAATCATGCAGGTGGCACCCTCTTCCAAGACAAATAAACAATAGAGCATAGCTGAGTTTTGGCAGAAATGAGCCTCAAAGGTCCAGTTCACTGCAACAACTGTAGCTGCAGGACAACACAGGGTCAAAGAGGCCAGGGTTGCCAACAGAAAGCTGATGGCTGAACACGGCAGGTTTTCAGTGGGATAATAATAGTGTCTAAAAATCCAGTAGCAGTCATGGGCAACATTGCCATTGCCTGTAATTGCCAATAATCCCCTGAAGATACTGCCTTGCTGGTGTGGTACTTGCGGTACCTGACCATCCCAACGTCTGTTAAAATCCTCAGAAATTTTAGGCTGGCTGGGTTCTCCAGAGACAGTGTTGTCTAAGCCCAACCTGAAGCAGGGTCAACCTGTGTCAGGTTAGTCGTCTTTAGACCAGTGGTGATAAGCTTGAAACCAGGTTGGGAAGGGTCCAAATGTCTTCTGGTCAGCTCTTTGCCAGAGGACTGTATCGTTTGAGCATCCACCAGACTCTGTGGTGGCTAAGTGGCTAAAAGGTGCATCTGTCTTGGAGGAACAGTTTGAGGTTTCTTTCAGATATTACAGAAAGACTGGATAAACAGGGGATTTCTAGAAAATAACAAGCTACTGATGACAGCTTCAAGAGTGTCTGCTTGGTGCTTCTCTGACCTGGAGAAGTATAGTCAAAGAAAATGCAAGTTCTTTTTATTAGTTTGAAAGTCACAGACTGCATGCAAAGATGATTCAATCCCTTTAGTCCCTGTAACATGAAAGGTTACTCTGCAGTGTCATGCAAGAAAGCTGCCGGAGTTTGATAGAAATATGTTTTTTTTCTACTTGAACTACAAGCAGTTGAAGATGGAGAGGGAGGAGCACAGGATGGATTTGTATCTGTGGCTTTAAAAAATGTTGGGCACTGGAGATTTATATTTGCAAAGTGGAAAGAAGGTTTAATTTCTGTACTTGTTTGATCCATCTTTAGGTTTTAACTTGTCATATCTTATTTCAAAGCGTTTCTGTGGCCTATTGTGACATGCTGATTTGTCAAGCAGAAAGTTTAGCGCTCCTTCTTCCAAACCTTCCCAAAAACTCTTGTTCTGGGTAGCAGCTGCTCAGTACATCCCCTCCTAGATACTCCAGCCAGCATGCCAGGACTGCTTCTGATAGCACTTGCTCATCCTGTAATGCTGAACAGCCATAGAAATGTGATGGTCAAAACTAAAAACTACAAACTGAAGAAATCTCAGTCCCAGAGGAGGGAGGAAGTCTCTTGTTAAGCTGCTATTAATTACTGAGACCTCCATACCCTACCCTTTCGGTTTCCCCATCTGCCTGACACCAAGTCACTTAAAAGTGTGCACAGCGTTTCATACAAATAATCAACTGTGCTGATAACTTACCTTCCGGTGGAAGGAAAACCAGGAAGACTTTCTTTATTGAGGCCGTGTTGTAACAGGATTCGAAGGCAGTCAAAAAGAAAACCTGCTGGGGCCTTTTTTTCAAAGAGAACGCCCTGAAAAGCCCCAGAAGGGCTCTGAATGCAAAAGTTGGGCTCCAGGAAGTCATGAGCTAGAACAGTTTTAAAATGGAAAAAGCTCCTGAGTTGGGTAGGGAGAAAGTTTTCAAGGTTTGCAAGCAAATCCCCAGCTTCGCGTCTTGTCAGGTCAGGTTTTGATTTTGTGTCGGATTTTAGAACGGACTTCTGTGGCTTCCCAAATTGCAAATCCCCCTCCACCCAGCCCCCTTCTTGCCCCCTTGGGGATAAGACCCACAGCCACTGCTCTCCGGGGCTGCCAGTCTCTGCTGTGCCCACTTGCTCCCATCCCTCCCCGGCTGGCTTGCTCGCTTGCTTCCCTTGCTGGGCTGCATCTTGTTCTGGGGGCATCCTCCCCAGCTGAAGAGCTGCTCGGCTCTCGGGGCGGTGCAGGCTGTGCCCTGCCCGGGGGGGTCCCTCCGCCTGGGTTTGACCTCTTTTCCCCTCCAGACTTGTATCAAAACTTTGTGCAATTTGATATTAAGCTTTAGTAAAATGCTAGAAAATGAAGCAGAAGATCAGAGGGCGGGAGCACCTCCCTTAGGAGGGCAGGCAGAGAGAGTTGGGGTTGTTCAGCCCAGAGAAGAGAAGGCTCCAGGGAGACCTTCCAGTACTTACAGGGGGCTACAGGGAAGCTGGGGAGGGGCTCTTTATCAGGGAGTGTAGGGATAGGGTGAGGGATAAGGGTTTTAAATTGAACGAGGGTAGATTTAGATGAGCTCTAAGGCAGAAATCCTTCCCTGGGGGGGGGGTGAGGCGCTGGCCCAGGGTGCCCAGAGCAGCTGTGGCTGCCCCCTCCCTGGAAGGGTTCAAGGCCAGGTTGGACGGGGCTGGGAGCCCCCTGGGCTGGGGGAAGGGGGCCCTGCCCGGGG